CTGGCGGGGAGGAGGCAGGGTGGACGGGGTGAGGCGCTCACCTTGCTGGCCTGAGTCTGGAGAGCTGAGCCCTGGGTCACCACCCAGGGCGCTTGGCCGGCTTTCTTCTGGTGGCCCCGCAGCACGTACCTAGGTCGTGGAACCTTACCTGGGGTCTACTCTGGCCCACTGAGCAGCAAAACGTCTTCAGCTGCCTTTGGACCCGTTCAGAATTCTCCGTAGGGAGCACTTTACAGACAGTTTTGACGTGATTTAACGGGTTTTCAACAGTAGAAAGGAAATTAAGGGGACGCCTGGGTGCTGAGTGGGTGAGCATCTGCCTTTGGTTCAGGTTGTGATCCTGGGTCCTGGGAACCCCAGTCAGGTTCCTAGCACGGAGCCTGCGTCTCCCTCTGCCTATGTCTCTGCCTCTCTGTCAGTGTCTCATGAATAACTAAAATCTTAAAAAAAGAAATGAAATTCAGTGTATATAGTATTTTGTTTTTAATGGACATCTTATACCAATGTTATTAAAGAGTGCATGCTGAGAGAAGTAATTCCCAGAATTACTTTGGATACAGGGCAGTATCTGACTTATATCTGTGTACAGTTTGTACCTATGTTATTTACTGAGGGACCTTGGGAGGAGATTTGGAATTGGGAAGATGGTTCTGTCTGTGAATAGGAAGTCTCATTTTTCTGAAAATGTGTACTCTTCCCGTGTTTATCAGTATTCCATGACGCAATAGAAACGTTATGGTTTTAGAAATTTTGAGCTTATACGTGCGGTCTCTGTTCTTTTCATTGTGATAAAATTAAGAAAAGTTTTGCAATCACTCACTATATTGTACACCTGAACTTAATACAACGCTGTATGTTAACAAACTGGAACTAAAATGAAAACTTGAAAAAAAATTTATAGAATACCTTCCAGTTATTAAAACGTACCTTAAATTTCCTCAAAGTATTCGTTGACTAACAGCTGAAAAGACGGATAAATGAATGGAACAGATAAGAAAATGCCAAACACCTAAGTATATGTTAAGACTTTATAACTTGATGCTGGTGACATTTCATATTAGTAGGAAAAGGTGAATCATTCATCATGTTGATGACATATCTGCCCTTTGGAGAAAACTAGCTAGAATTTTATCTCATAAAAATAAGTTCCAGATGGAATACAGATTAAAAATGTTAAATATGCAAAATACAGTACAAGAGAAGAAAACATGAACGCTTCTATGCCCATTTTTTATGTTGACAAAGACCATTCTTAAGAATGACTTTAAAAGCAAGAGTTCGGGCAGCCCAGGTGGCTCAGCGGTATAGCGCTGCCTTCAGCCCAGGTCCTGATTCTGGAGACCTAGGATCGAGTCCCACGTCGGGCTCCCTACATGGAACCTGCTTCTCCCTCTGCCTGTGCTCTGCCTCCCTCTCTCCCCCTGTGTCTCTCACAAATAAGGAAAATCTTAAAAAATAAAATAAAATAAAAGCAAGAGTTCTGGAGGTTGATTCAGCCACATAAAAAATTAAAACTCACTGTATATCAGAAAATAATATTAATAAAATAAAAGAAAATGTCCTTGCAAAATATTTACAACATATGTGTATCAGATAAAAAAAAATGTCTTTGTTTTACAGGGAAGGTATTAAAGGAATGAAATAGGGGGGGCCTCTGGGTGGCCCAGTTGGCTGCTTCTGACTTCCTCTCAGGGTCATGATCTCTGGGTCCTGGGATTCAGCCCCTGGTGAGGCTCCCTGCTAGGTGGGGAATCTGCTTTTCCTTTGGCCCCTCCCCTCTGCTGGTGCTCTCTCTGTGTCAAAAAAAAAAAAAAAATCTAAAATAAAAAAGGAGTAAAATCCCATTTTCCATCTGCAGGCTTTGTGAAGATAAGGAATGATGGTACTCATACTCCTGGTTAAAGTTGTTTTTGACTTTTCAGATAGTTCGGTGGTTAAGTCCCAATTGAAAAATATGTATTCCTTTTACCCATGAATTTTATTGATTTAAAATATCTTTAGTAAATAATTAAAGATAAACAATATACAATATGCTTTTCTCAGCACTATTTACAATAGCAGTGTATTAAGAACTCATTTAATGGCCTTTATAAATAAGTGGCAGTGTATCCATAGGCTGGACTACTATGTGACCACTCAATGTGGCAAAGATAATTGATACACATTAACATGCAAAGCTGTACTTTAGTGGATCATTAAATGAGGGGGAAAAATGGTTTGATGATACAAACACATAAGCAGACAATGGTTTTGTGTTAGCCAAAAAGATGTGAAAAATATAAAATTAGTTATCTTGAAACATTTGGATTGTAAGTGAATTTTTCTTGTTTCTTAAAAAAAGTCTGATTTCTACAGGAAAAGGTATACAAAAATTCCAACAAAGGTTTATTATCAATGAAGTAATCCAGGAGAACAGCAAGAATATGAATCTTGTGTAGGCAAAAAGAATTTCTATTTATTTACTTTTAAGAGGTTTCATTGATTCATTTGAGAGGGAGAAATCAGGCACATAAGCAGCAGGGAGGGGCGGGGGGACAAGCAGAAACCCCGTGGAGCAGGGAGCCTGATGATGTAGGACTCGATCCCAGGACCCCCGAGGTTCATGACTTGAGCCAAAGGCAGATGCCTAACTGAACTGACTGAGTTACCCAGGTGCCCCTCTTTCTATTTAAAAAAAAAAAATTGATGGGCGTGAGGATTGGTATTTTCTGACAACCTTTAGCCTCTTCAGAACTAAGGGGAATATTTTTATCTGTATGTAGATTTTATTATGCATACATTAAATATATATGTATGATTTTGTTATGTGCAGCTTTATAACAGGCAATAAGTAAATGATTAACAATAAAATTTTATTTTAGTTAAATCCTCATGAAAATAAAAAATACAAATGATACTGTGATAGCTTACAGAACTTTTGTTGTTTCCCTCTTCTGAAAAAAGTAGCAAATATAAGTTTTTATTGCTATTTCAAAAGTATTAGTTTACTTTACAAAACTTTTCTTTAAAAATATTGAACTTTCCTGGTGCTTTGGTGGCTGTTTGTTGAGCATCAGACTCTTGATTTTGGCTCTGGTCATGATCTTAGGATTGTGGGGTTGAGCCCCCCCCCCCCCGTCGGGCTCAATGTTCAATGGGGAGGCTGCTTGAGATTGTCTCCCTCTCCCTCTGCCCTTCACCGCACTCATGTATTCTCTCTTTCTCAAAGAAATAGATAAATCTTTAAAAACTATTGAACTCTCCAAATGTATTTATTCTTCAGTCCATTTATTTCTCAAACAGAACCTGAACACGGGTTATGTAGCAGACATAGTCTACTCAGGATCTTTTCAATCTTAAAAAGACTTCATGTTGCCCAGTATGAGCAAGATGAGAAATTTTATGTATTTAGGTTTTAAAGCTTTCATTGTTAAGTGTAATCTCTCCACCCAACGTGGGGCTTGACGTTTAAGGACACATGCTCTACTGACTGAGCCAGCCAGGCACTCCTAAGATGAGAGATTTTATTTTATTTTGTAAAAGTTAAAAGATGTATTTATTTTAAAGGGAGAGAGAGGGTCATGGGAGAGGGGAGGGACAAGGGGGAGAGAGGAACCCAAGCAAACTCCACCCTGAGCATGGAGCCTAATGTGGGGCTCCGTCTTACGACCTTGAGATCATCCTGAGCCAAAACCAAAAGTTGGACACTCAATCACCTGAGCCACCCGGGTGCCCCTAAGGTGAGAAATTTTAAATGGAAGTATTAGGACTTAATCTCACCTGAAGCTTTTCCTTGGAACTTCCTGTCAAAGGAAAACATTTCTGAAGATCAGAAATTGTAAAAGATTACCTTTACCTGCCCTTTTGACATTTCAATAATATTAAATACTAATATTGGTAATTGGAAATAACTTGATTTCTATGATTCTAAACATTTTTCTATTAATTGAAATGCTTAATAAAATGAGCTTCCCCACATCCCCCCCCCCAAAAAAGTAAAATGAGCTGTGCCCGTTTATTTGAAATCCGAGTTTCCTTTGGCTCAAACTTCCTTGAAAACCAAACTAAGAATTACTTACAATTATTCTTTTGTTATTTTAGTCTCTTTTACCCGTAATGTGCTTTCAACTACTGAAAATTATTTTAGTTCTTGAACAGTGTAATTCCAAGCATAGGACTAGAAGTGCAACAGACCTGTTGTATATTGTTGTATATGTCATTATTTCACTTAAGGCACACCGTAGATTGTATGATGCCCCACTATTTATGTACCAAGAAGAAATATTTAAAAATCATGCCAGTTATAGTTTTAAGACATTTTGAATTAGAAATTGGATTCCAATGTCAGAGGTATTAAAAGGTGACAAAATGAGCATCTTGGAATCATTGAAATAGAGTATTCTTGCTCATCCTTAAACGTAGCCGCAAAGTAGGCATAATTGGATCATTTTACCTCATTGTAGTGGGTCTTTGTAAGTTGTAGTAATAGCTATAATAATATGTGTGCTAGGAACTAGTATTCTAAACACTTTGCATGGATCCTCATTTAAGGATCATGACAAGAGGTCTTGTGAGATAACTACCTTTTATTTTATTTATTATTGTTTCGTAACCTCTATAACCAACAGGGGTCTCGAACCCCTGGCTCCCGAGATCGAGTGACATGCTCTTCAGAGTGAGCCAGACAGGCGACCTGAGATAACTATTTTTGTGCCCATTTTGTGGATGAGGAAATTGCGATAAGGCTAAGTGGTCACAGTGAAGCGACAGAGTTAAGTAGGAATCAAACCCAGGTTGAGCTGCCTCCTGAGGTCATGCTCTTCCTAAACAGATAGGCTGCTCTTTTAATAGAGTGGTGAATAATCACTAATAAGTATTGTACTTTCTTCCAAAGTAAACTAATTGTTTGTTTTGGGGTCTTGAGAATAACAGAGTATTTAACATTTACAATTCTATGAATTAATTTGCAATTTTTGAAAAGGTACACTGTAATTTCCTGACAAGTCCTTTCACGCTCACAGGAGTGCTCTGCACTTGGCCTGTGCCAATGGCCGTGAAGATATGGTGAAGCTCCTGGTAGATCGGAAATGCGAGCTAAACCTCCGTGATGGTGAAGACACGACAGCTCTAATGAAGGTGGGTGGTCACAGCTATGTCTGCCTGAGGTGGATTGGATTGAAGTCCTTGCAATGAACATTTGTTGCATTTAAACATAACTCATTGGTGAAACTTGTGGCATGTTTCCTTTAAGTTCCCAGAATTTACATTCTGTTTCTTGGTGTAATGCTCACAGGCTGTACAATGCCAAGAAGAGGCATGTGTAACTCTTCTCCTGGAACACGGTGCTGATCCGAATCTGAAAGACAACAAGGGCAACACCGCTCTCCATTATGCAGCCCGTGAAGAGATTGTCTCAATAGCAGAGAAGCTGCTTTTACAAAACGCAAATATAGAGGCCAAAAACACGGTACAAATCAACTTTTTTTTTTACAACGTATTTGACATTATAAATAAATAAATAAGTAAGTAAATAAATAAATAAATAAATAGCTGCAAAAGGTTTATATATATGTGCATATATATGTACATAGGTATATATTTATATGAAGACATCGGCACTGAATTTTATACAGTAGGTCCTGTCATCATGGAAACAACTGCAAACCAAGGCAGGGGGTGGGAAAGAGAAAAGTAATGCATATAGAAAGGCAACATTTTGTCTGCTAGCCATCCTTCCACCCCAGAAAGAAAATCTTCCCCTTAGTGCCTGGGAGTAGATGATCCCCTCAGAGCCCACAAAGGATTGAAGGCCTAGAGGGGAGTGTGGTGATGATGGAGGCCGAAAGCTGTGTAGGGGCTTAGGAAATGAATGCTTCTGGGGATGAGTAGGAGACCGTGACCCAGAGGAGTAGCTTGGGTGAATGTAAATGGGAGGAGAAAGCAGCAGGTTGTAATAGGCCTTGGGCGCTCTAGGCCCTAAGGTTCAGAAGATGAGAGCAGGGGGATCAGGTCATGACATCCTACAGGTGGTATCTGCTTGTGCTGGTAGCCAATCTGCCAGCCATGTACCATGGTGAGGCCTCCCATTCCGGAGAGTAGCTCCTGCTCAGCCTATGTAGTTCCTCAGTGGGGTGGTAGGTGTCCATGGGGAGCTGGTGATGAGCACACTTGCCAGTCTCCGTGTGCTTTCTTTGACGTGCATTACCTTCAGTTGCTGCTCTTGCAGAAACACTGTTGTGTGCCATAGATAGGGTCGATTTTTCATGGAAGCTCAAGCATGTCCTGGATGAAAATATTTTGAAATAATTGTCTAAGCTTTTGCTTTAAATAACAACACTTTTTATGTTTGAAGATTGTATTTATATGAGAGAGAGCAAACATGAGGAGGGAGGAAAGGCAGAGGTAGGGGAAGAAGAGGCCTTCCCACTGAGCCAGGTAGCCTGATGCACGGGGCTTGATGTCAGGAATGGGATCATGAGCATAACTAGACGGAGATGCTTGACCCACTGAGCCACCCAGGCTCACCATAATACTTCTTCCTTTCTGCCTTTCTTTTTTTTTTTTAAATTAAGTTTTTTTTTTTTTTTCAGCTCACACTCTGGGGTTTATGTATTTATTTTATTTTATCTTTATTTTTTTCTTTTAAAAATTTTTTTTAGTTGGAATTCAATTGCCAACATATAGCACAGCACCGAGTGCTCATCCTGTCACGTGCCTCCCCGTTGGTGCCCGTCACCCAGTCACCCCAACCCCCCACCCACCTCCCTTTCCACCACCCCTTCTTTGGTTCCCACAGTTAGGAGTCTCTCATGTTCTGTCCCCCTCACTGATATTTCCCACTCGTTTTCTCTGCTTTCCCCTTTATTCCCTTTCACTCTTTTCTATTCCCCATATGAATGAGACCATATAATGTTTGTCCTTCTCCGATTGACTTACTTCACTCAGCATAATACCCTCCAGTTGCATCCATGTTGAAGCAGATGGTGGGTATTTTTTGTTTCTAATTGTTGAGTAATCTGTGGTATATGTCCACAATGGAATATTACTCAGCCATGAGATTTTATTTATTTTTGAGGAAGTGAGTGAGCATGTGCAAGCAGGGGGTGGTGTGGGGGCCGAGGGAAAAGAAAGAGAGTGAGAATCTGAAGTAGACTTTGCGCTGAGCCTGGCTCAGCGCTGGATCTTATGACTCTGATCATCACCTGAGTTAAGACCAAGAGTCAGATGCTCAACGGACTGAGCCACTCAGTTGCCCCTAAATAATGATACCTCTAAAGAAGCATTAGAGAATGCAGGTTTCTTGTATGTATTTATGGCAAATATTTATGAGAACACAGAATGTGTTATGAAACTTTGTTTTCAAAAATGTTTTCTCACCCAGTTTGTTTTCTTATTTAGTGTCAAACAACAGAGGAAAGCAAAATTTGCCTTGGAAATAGGCTTTGTCTTAAAACACAAAACAAGTGTATTTTACAATAGAAAATCCTGCTGCTGTTGAGAAGTTCCTACTTGATCAAAAAGTGATTTATTAACACGGTCGGAGTTTATCTTTTATCAGCCTTGACTTAAGAGGGACAAAAGAGGGGAAAAGGAGAAAGCAGTCAGAAACACGCAGAGCGATTTAGACATTTGGCAAGTGAAGGGAAATATCAAGACAAGGTTTTTGGATTGTGTTTGGTTTTCTTCAGTGTTTATGTTTAGGTAAGGAGTCTTCAATTTTCAGGGATAATAATTCTTACTTTAGGAACCAGTGAGTGTCTTGTAAACTTATATAGAGATCAATTCTAGGAGGACTCTAAGGACATCAGATTGGTAGTAAACAGGTGGTTGAATGGGCACGAAAAGGGACGCCTGTGTGGCTCAGTGATTGAGCATATGCCTTCGGCTCAGGGCATGATCCCTTGGTCTCCGAATCGAGTCCCACCTGGTGCTCCTTGAATGGAGGAGCCTGCTTCTCCCTCTGCCTGTGTCTCTGTCTCTCTCTCTCTCTCTCTCTTGGTCTCTCATGAATAAATAAACAGAAATCTTAAAAAAACAAAAACTGGACAAGAAGAGGAAAGAACACAGTATAGTATTTTGCAGCTATAGCCACTTAGATAAGAGTCTAAACTCTGCTTGCAAATCTAGAATGTCTTGATGGGAAGGAAGTAAGGAGTGTGTAAATAATGGAATCAAGTTGCAGTTTGAGTTTACTAGTCCTTGTTCTACCTCTAGCCATGGAAATTGAATGTAGGTTTGATAAGTGACTCATTTCTGTTTTTGGCTGAATCCTCAAGTGATAGGGAGAATTGGCCACATAGGTGAAAGAGGAGACTGCCATGGTTGTGTACTGTACTAGTTCTCAGCTAGACTCGTGCTGGTGAATCACAGTCAACTAGGGAACTTTAAAAGAATTTACAAGCCAAAACTGTCCCGTGAAGATTTTGACGGAGTGAATCCAATAACGTGTGTACGCAGAAATTTGGAAATAGTTTTTTGAGATTCTGATACAGCGCTTGGCTAAGAACTACTGAATGGGTAGGTATACATATGCAAATTTAGAGATGTAAAAAAAAAAAACTGATGTTTGATACTGGCTACATCCTTCCACTCTCTCCAACATTAGCCTTTCATCCCTCTGTATCTCTCTTTTTTTTTTTTTTTAGTAAATTAATTTTTATTTGTGTTCAATTTACCAATATACAGAATAACACCCAGTGCTCATCCCGACAAGTGTCCCCCTCAGTGCCCGTCACCCATTCACCCCCACCCCCCGCCCTCCTCCCCCTCCACCACCCCTAGTTCATTTCCCAGGGTTAGGAGTCTTTATGTTCTGTCTCCCTTTCTGATATTTCCCACACACTTCTTCTCCCTTCCCTTATATTCCCTTTCACTATTATTCATATTCCCCAAATGAATGAGAACATACACTGTCCTTCTCCGATTGACTTACTTCACTCAGCATAATACCCTCCAGTTCCATCCACGTTGAAGCAAATGGTGGGTATTTGTCGTTTCTAATGGCTGAGTAATATTCCATTGTATACATAGACCACATCTTCTTTATCCATTCATCTTTCGATGGGCACCGAGGCTCCTTCCACAGTTTGGCTATTGTGGACATGGCTGCTAGAAACATCGGGGTGCAGGTGTCCCGGCGTTTCATTGCATCTGAATCTTTGGGGTAAATCCCTAACAGTGCAATTGCTGGGTCGTAGGGCAGGTCTATTTTTAACTCTTAGAGGAACCTCCACACAGTTTTCCAGAGTGGCTGAACTATTTCACGTTCCCACCAACAGTGTAAGAGGGTTCCCCTTTCTCTGCATCCTCTCCAACATTTGTGGTTTCCTGCCTTGTTAATTTTCCCCATTCTCACTGGTGTGAGGTGGTATCTCATTGTGGTTTTGATTTGTATTTCCCTGATGGCAAGTGATGCAGAGCATTTTCTCATGTGCATGTTGGCCATGTCTATGTCTTCCTCTGTGAGATTTCTCTTCATGTCTTTTGCCCATTTCATGATTGGATTGTTTGTTTCTTTGGTGTTGAGTTTAATAAGTTCTTTATAGATTTTGGAAACTAGCCCTTTATCTGATATGTTATTTGCAAATATCTTCTCCCATTCTGTAGGTTGTCTTTTAGTTTTGTTGACTGTATCCTTTGCTGTGCAAAAGCTTCTTATCTTGATGAAGTCCCAATAGTTCATTTTTGCTTTTGTTTCTTTTGCTTTTGTGGATGTATCTTGCAAGAAGTTACTGTGGCCAAGTTCAAAAAGGGTGTTGCCTGTGTTCTCCTCTAGGATTTGATGGAATCTTGTCTCACATTTAGATCTTTCATCCATTTTGAGTTTATCTTTGTGTATGGTGCAAGAGAGTGGTCTAGTTTCATTCTTCTGCATGTGTATCTCTTTGAGATTACAGATGAAAATTATTGGTCATCTCTGTTGGCTTGAAAAATAATTACCTTTTCTTCCAACTATCAGTCATTCACCGACACCCAGATGGGAAGTCTTTATGAGTAGTCTCATAATAAGTAGAGTCTGACCCTTTAAAGATTTTACATGTTTTGCTACCATTGTGATTATTACAAGCAGGGTTTTTCCAATTGCAGCAGTAGAAACCCGTGAACCTTCTTTTTCAGTTGAAGCTGTGCGATAGACTATCTTAGGATGTCTTTCAAATTCATAGGGCCCTGGCATAGTCACTACTGTGTTAAACATTCAGCATGTAGTTAGTGACAATACAGATGGTAATTGTTTTAATAACTTTGCTTCAGCATTCCTCTGACCTCCTGTCTGTTCGGTTAGCAATCTGAGGGAAGTAAATAGAAATAGATTGCAGTTGAAACAAGCATTGGAAAATTCTGACAGTAGGTGTTAATGAGTCTTCACAGCAATTTTCCTTAGAAGGTGGGGCCTAATTTGTTGGTAAAACATGATCCTGATGCTTTAGGAAAGGTTTGATGTCCAAGTATTTGTTTTACGCACGGCTATTGGAAACAGTCACGGCAAATAGAAAAACACAAGTAGGCTATAGACTAAATGTGGCCCCCGGATGTATTTAGTTTCCACTGTCAGTTGAGCTAACGTTTAAAATTATGACACGCATGTAGAACTCTGGATTTTGAGCTTTTCTTGTAGATCACTTCTGGTACCTTGAGCCCATGCTGCTGTTTGGTATGCTGTGCAGAGGCTGTCCCTTTATATGAGGCGTGTGTCTCCAGTTTGCTCGTGTCCCCGCCTAGGTACTTCACTGACTCGTGTCACCTGCTTTGCCTCCATAAGCATTGAGTTTACAATTACTGTTTTATGGTATATGTTGACAGAGATTTCAAGATTTTCAAGACACTCCATATTAATTTACAATATATATTTTGTATTTTATGTTAATTTCTTAGGATTGGGATTGAATTTTCTGTTTCTTTGTCTCCTTATTTTTGTCATTACTTTATTCAGTAATTGATGAGAGACACACAGAGAGAGGCAGAGAGCTAGGCACAGGGGGAAGCAGGCTCTCTATGGGGATCCTGATGTGGGCTCGATCCCAGGATCTCGGATCACCATGCTAAACCACTGAGTCACCTGGTGCCTCAGGATGAATTTTCCAAGTTAAAATTAAAAGTTTTTTTTTTTTTTGAAAACCATTTTTTCTTTAAATGTACTGTATTCATGTTCCTTTTGGAATATCTGTATGTCATGTGAGGTTAATCCATTTTATTTGGATATGTTATGCATATTGCAGAGAATATTAAATAATTTAGTAGTATTGATTGTGCTAAAAAAATAATCTATGTAAGCCAGTATTAGAATTTTTTTGTTATTAAGATTTTTTATTTAAATTCATTTTACCAATCTATAAAAACACAGTGCTACTCCAGTATTCCTATTTTTATTGATAAGCTGTTATATTTTTAGTTCTGAATTACACTTTGCCTAAAATACAAAATAAGTATAAATAGTAATCACAGTAGAAACTGGAATACTAAGAGGATTTTTAGAAGTGGATATGCCTTATGGGTCCCAGAATTAATATAATTGAGACCAAATCTGATACTTATTTCACGTAGCGTAAGACCCTAAGTCAGTTAGAGGAAGACAGTTATCTCATGGTCACATTCATTATGTAGATGTTAGAAACAAAACAGAGTATCAGAGGGGAAGAGAAGAAAAACTAAAACAAGACAGAGTGAGGGAGACAGACAATAAGAGACTCTTAATCATAAGAACCAACCTGAGTGTCCCTGGAGGGGTTGGTATGGGTCGATGGGATAACTGGGTGATGGACATTACAGAGGGCACATGATGGAATGAGCACTGGGTATTACATAAGACTGCTGAATCGCAACCTTTTCCCTCTGAAACTAATAATACACTATATGTTATTTAATTGAATTTAATCAAAAAGGTAAAAATGAGAAAAATCTCATACTGACCTTTCTAGCAGTTGAGATAAAGCTTTATCATTGTATTGTAGGAGAAAGTCCAAGGACTATTATTTATTTATTTCTTTTTAATTTTATTTTAATTCAGTTTGCCACAATAAAGTATAACACCCAGCGCTCATCTCATCATTTGTGCCCTCCTTGACCAAGGACTATTTATTCTTTTTAAAAATATTTTATTGATTTATTCATGAAAGACACTGAGAGAGAGGCAGAGACACAGGCAGAGAGAGAAGGAAGCTCCATGCAGGGAACCAGATGTGAGGCTTGAACCTGGGACTCCAGGAACACACCCTGGGCTGAGGACAGGAGCTCAACCTCTAAGCCACTCAGGTTTCCCAACCACAAACTACTTAGTATTAAGCATTCAATGTTCAGTTGAAGCTTGTTTCTTTTATTTATTCTTTTTCTATTTTTTATTTCTACTAAGCTTTATTTACATATTTTGGAGAGACAGCTTGCACATGCACAGGCTTGGGGGGTTGTGTGAGGGGAAGAGGGAGAGAGTATCTTAAACAGACTTGGTGCTGAGTGCCAGGGGAGCCCAGAATCCAAGGTGGGGCTGGATCCCACCACCCTGAGACAAAGCCAAGGATCACTCAACTGGCTACGCAACCCAGCTACCCTGAAACCTAGCTCTTTTCATTCAGAGTCCATCTCCTTAGTGACTCCTTAGTGACTCAGTGTTTTGTGTTGTCATCTGGGATCCCTATACCATTGATAGAAGAGAATCAAGCAAGTTTGTACAACCTGGAGAAAACCCTCGCCTTTATTGGAAAGTTCTTAAAGCTCTATCCCTGAGAACTCTTATTTTTCAAGTATTAATGTTTGCTACAAAAAAAAGGAATTGTCAAATGGGGATAAGCAAATGTAAATGGAGTTCATTTGTGCTACATTAATAGTGCGGTTTTGAATATTTCACAAACATAGATGATCATTGAATCTTTCTTTTGGTGTCTTCCAGTGTCTTCCTTCTTGCAAATTATGTATTCTTTGGAATATAATTGAAAAAACACTATTCCAGAGATAATCCATTAAAATCAATAACAATATTTTAAATTTTCACTACTATGTTTTAGAGAGTGGAGATACAGAGATTAAAAAATCACCCCTGACTTCGAAAAGCTCTTGGTTTAGATGGTGTGGAATAGAGTGTACCATGGTATATTACGTGAGAGAAGCAAAGATTCTTGGAGTCAGGCAATGTTTGAAGCGAGTTTGTAGAATGACTTCAGGTAATCTATGAAGAGGTAGCGGAGGTCTATTTTTTTTTTAATTTTACTTTTTAAAAAGATTTTATGTTTTTGAGAGAGACAGAGAGCGAGCGAGCAGGAGAGAGAGCACGAGTGGAGGGGAGGAGCAGAGGGAGAGGGAGCCCAAGGTAGGGTTCCATCCTGAGACCCTGGGATCATGACCTGAGCTCATGAGCTGAAGGCAGATGCTTGACCAACTGAGCCACCCAGGCTCCCTGAGAAAGCAGTATTTTAAAAAGAAGGAGCAGGTGGTGAAAACAGAGGGGTGAGAAGGAAGGGGCTAATTTTATTTACTTTCTACAATATATGTTTTAAGTTTAGCAGAATGTATAGAAATTTTAAAATTTAGCATGCAAATATGTAATTTATAAATTATAAGTTGTTTTTGCACTTTTACAGGATGGCCTCACACCAGTTTTAGTTGCTCTAAATGAAAACAAAGAGCAAATGGTGAAATTTTTAGTAGGAAAAGGAGCACGTCTACTTGCAGGGGATATGGTTAAAAGGTAGAGTATTTTTTTGTTTTGTTTTTTAAACCTTACTATTTTGTCTTGAGTGGTAACAATTTCTCATGTCATAAATTTTATCTTAATAATATGATTAAGTTATAGTCATATAGTGAAAAATGTCAGGATGTCATCTCTTAGGTAGAAAGCAATTATTCTGACAGGCCAACATGAACAGTGTATAGCAGAATTCGTATTTCTTTGTAATATTGATTGATGTCATTTGCAATAGTTTTTTTGCCATAGGATTTTATATTAAAAGGGTTTCATATTAATATTATTAGTTTTATAGTGGGGACTCCCAAGTTGTAGTTTACTTTATGACACAATTCTGGATATCTAAACTCTTTTATTAATATTTTTTAAGATTCTATTTCATACTTTAAAAGATATATAATAAGCATAAGTAGGAGTTGTTTTGTTTTTTTGGATGACTCTTTGCTTTATTACTTTTTGTTGAAGAATACTGATGATGTTAGATGATCCCGAAGTAGTTACCATTAGCAGATACTCTGGGTTCATCAGTTTTTATACTTTTTCATGTCCAGTATGTTTTATCATTTTCATTTTTAATTGGAATCGATTGAAGGATGAAAGAGAACCTTAGGTGAATAGACTCTTCCTTTAATGAGGAGAAATCATAGGTGAGTGATAAAGAGAAAAGAGATGGACTTTAGATTCACAGAAGACTAGGTTTAATTCTTAGCTTGCCTCCTTGCTGGGTATGTGACCTTGGAAACATTACTTACCATCACCAGATACATATCCTGATATGAAAAGGAGGATAATAATATATCCTTCAAGGGTGGTTGTGTGTAAATAATTATATATATATAATCATGTAATTTAGTGCCTACCACATGCTTAACTTAGTATCATTAACTGCAACTATGACTGTTTTCTTATCATTAGTGTGAATATTACTGTTTTAAGCCTACAGATAGCTTTTATACCGACCTGGCCTCCAGGTGGTTTGGAGGTACAATGTACCAGTTTAAGGAAGAAATGGGGATTTTTAAAATGATTTTATTTATTTATTCATGAGAGACACACAAAGAGAGGCAGAGCACTGGCAGAGGGAGAAGCAGGATCCGGAACTCCAGGATCACGCCCTGAGCCAAAGACAGATATACTCAACCACTGAGCCACCCAGATATCCCAAAATGGGGAATTTTTTTAAAAAAACCCTTCACCTATTCAGATCAGTGACCTCGGCATAGTTTCTTGTTCATCAGAGGGTTTTAAATTAGCAACTTCTACTATAATACCCAAGTGGAACCAGAGGCTTCTTTTTTGTCGCTTCATTTTAGCCGTGGGGTTAATTTACAAAAATGAACACTTGGACATGTTAGTGGTCCATTCTGTAGCAACATGTGAGATATTACCCTGATGAAGTATATCAGATTAGGTGCTTAAATACTCTGAGTTCTTAAGGATGAAGTTATCTCTCTGTTATTTTAGAATAGCCCTTATGCTTGCTGTAAAATATGCTGTAAAAGATGAACCATGAAATATAGTCAGTCTTCTCTTTAGGAAGGTTTTCCTAAGATGTATATGGATGGACTGCAGAAGAATATGCTATTATTAATAGTATTAATATGTAAGTGTTTACATTAAAATGCTAGTTATTACTGGGATACCTGGGCAGCTCAGCGGTTGAGTGTAATATAGTGAAAAATGTCAGGATGTCATTTGAATGACATTCATGGACACAGGGCATGATCCCGGGGCCTGGGGATCGAGTCCCACGTCTGGCTCCCTGTGAGGAGTCTGGTTCTCCCTCTGCTGATGTCTCTGCCTCCTCTCTGTCTCTCTGTGTGTGTGTCTCTCATGAATAAATAAATAAAATCTTTTTTCAAAAGTGAAAATAACTTAAAACATGCTAGATATTTCTCAACTGAGGTTTAAAATATAGTAAAATAGTGTTACTTCCTATGTAACAGCTGAGAAGGTATAATTTGATTCAGCACTTTGGGATGGCAGTGAGTTAGAGCCTAGCCTATCATCACCCAGAAACCAAGCAAAAGGCTAGAGTCGTTAGAAGTAGCAATGAGTACAGGATTCTTTATGTCAGGACTCTTGAGACCTTTATCCTTAGGGATCCTCACTGTATGTGTTTCATTCCAACTATAACCCTTCTGCATGGGGTTCACATAATGTTATACCTGGGTGCTTTTTAAAAAGATTTTGTTTGTTTGTTTGTTTGTATTTATTTATTTATTTATTTATTTATTTATTTATTTATTTATTTATTTATTTAAGAGAGAGCAAGCACAAGTGAGCCGGAGGGGTGGAGGGAGAGGGAGAAGCCGACACTCTGCTGAGCTGGGAGCCCAACACAGGGCTGGATCCTTTTTTTTTTTTTTTTTTTTTTTTATTTATTTATGATAGTCACAGAGAGAGAGAGAGAGAGAGAGAGAGAGAGAGAGAGAGAGGCAGAGACATAGGCAGAGGGAGAAGCAGGCTCCATGCACCGGGAACCCGATGTGGGATTCGATCCCGGGTCTCCAGGATCGCGCCCTGGGCCAAAGGCAGGCGCCAAACCGCTGCGCCACCCAGGGATCCCCAGGGCTGGATCCTGAGACTATACCTGAGCTAAAGGCAGTTGGTTAACTGACTGAACTACCCACCTCAACGTCTGTTTTTACTAACTTTTACTTGTGTCCTAAGATGTTCAGTTTCATAGAAAACTATACTTTTCCTTGTGGGTTATCGCCTATACTTTCCCCCTTGAATTTTCCCAGCACCTAAGGATTTCCCTAAGACCAGGAGACAGTCCTCTTTCATAAGCCTTTTGGATGGAAAAAAGGACATGCTCATCATTCTGTGGTTTCCTTTGATTCTGTTCCTGCAACATTGCTGTTGAAACTGGTTCTGCAGTCCAGTCATGATTGACTTTTGCTCATAGGATGCCCTTGCTGATCCTCAGTCCTCAGTCCTCATGGTGATCCACACTTAGAATTCAAACTTACAACCCTTTTTTGTTTATTACATATGCTTATATGCTCAGCTGCTATTCCAAAGCCACCGGCATGCTGTTCTGGCAGCTGGGCCTTCTGGCTTTAGCCCCCATACACCTTTCCCTTCACACTCAAACACCTTACGTGGAAACCATATATTAGCCCAGACCTTCATGATGAATTAACCTTCGAGGATTTTGTCTTTTCTGCTAGCAGACTTTAGTTAGGACCATTCTAAACTATTAAAGAAGTTCAAATAATACTACAAGAAGAGACTGGACTTTCCTTCCCCTTTGCTCCTACATCTGTACCCGAAGCCTGCTTTATTTTTTTTAAGATTTTATTTTTATTTATTCATGAGAATACACAGAGAGGAGAGAGAGAGAGGCAGAGACACAGGCAGAGGGAGAAGCAGGCTCCATTCAGGGAGCCCGACATGGGACTCGATCCTGGGTCTCCAGGATCCTGAGCCACCCGGGCTGCCCCCCAAGCCTGCTTTAAATCCTGTGGAATACCTTTTTTTATTAGGTCATGAAGGTCTCATATTGCCCTTCCCAGAGTTGTGGGCATCACCTTGCCTGAGAGGCCACGTTTTGGGTATAATACCTCATTAAATCCTCCAAACGGTCTTGTAATATAAGATGGTAAGATTCCTGTTTTATAGAGGATGACTTTGAGTGGAAGAGAAGTGGCTGGTCTAAGAACAAAAAAACTGCTGGTTTTAGAGCTGGGACTTTGGGATTTGAGACACTTTCCATTATGGCAGGCTAATAACTCTTAGTTTACTGAGCAAAATGCCTTCAACTCATGACTGGTTCACCTTACTTTTGTTTCTCCTTTAATTATAATTACATACTTGGTAAAAGTTTTTAGAACTGACAAATTTGAAGTACCTATTCGGGTAATTTAAGTTTTGATGTTAACCCTGATATTCTTTGAAAAATCTTAAGAATTTGATATATCTGGTAAATATTTTTCATATCAGTATTTAAAAAGTCTCATTGTTTATCACTCTTTCTTATACGTAGCAGTGACCAACTAATTTCTGAACATAAAGAAGAAATGGAACCTGAAAATTCTTCACAGAATCATGATCTAGGTACGATTTTTTAGAGTGAATTACTTATGGTGGTCCTAACATAGATGAAGTCAGAATAAGGCGGTTTTGATAATGAAAGAGCAATGAAAACAAAACGAAACAAATCCGATGCGTAAATTGCATGGGTGTTTGTTTGGTTTCTTAATTTCTTTCTTAATAGTCTAGGATTCAGAATTTGAGAAGTTCTTTTTGGTAATTTAAAATATGAGGCAGTATTGTCTGAAAATAAATTCGTTATCTTAGTATTTTTTAGATTTTATTTCTTTATTCCTCAGAGACAGAGAGAGAGGCAAAGAGAGAGGCAGAGGGAGAAGCAGGCTCCATACGGATGCCTGATGTGGGACTCAATCCCAGAACCCTGGGATCACAACCTCAACCAGTGAGCCATCCAGGTGCCCTCATTATTAGTTATGATACTTAAGATCCCATGGGATATCTTTGTGTAAATAAGGAAAAAAGATTTTCAAGTTAGTATGTTTTAAGTTTCCTCTATAAACATGTTATAAAAATTATACTGGTTATACAAATGGTATTTTGACTTTTACAAGTGGATTTCATTTAGTAAATATTATTATAGTGTGATTTGTCTCATTATCCTTAAAACTGGAACTCTGCAATACCTTGCTGGTACTTTACACAAATGGCAAACAATAAGAACTGCAAAACTTAGCTAGTGTGCAGCAATACCAATGAGATTGCTTGATTTTTTAGGTGATGACCTATCCTACGGAAGCCTTTTGAGGAGCACAGGTTATTTTAGATGCTGTTGCATCAACGCAATCTCACTATTAGTGACTTCACTTCTCTTAAGTCAGAATGTGATATGTTGACTTCATTAGGACAATGTTCTCTCCTGTTTGTTGCGTAATACTGTAGTTTTTTGGAAATAAGATACTCTGTTATCATTAGTCAAAAGATGATCATAATAAATATTCAAAAAGGGCAACTTGGGCTCAACAAATTATAATAAAAGCACAAAAATGTTCGCAGTAACAAAGATGTTACCGTTGCTCCCCAGAGGTGGCACCTAGTGCGTTGCATGGTCTGAAATGTAGGAAGAAACCTTTAACTTAGTGGATCTCTATCACAGAAATTCTTTAGGTTGGCTTTGGTTTTGCAAGTTATAGGAGCAAAGATGGAATAGAGTTTTGGTCTTTCAAGGTGCTCATAATAGAATAGAGCTGTCTTTGTGTTGTGTTTTGTTTTTAAGATTTTAATTTATTTATTCATGAGAGACAGAGAGAGAGAGAGAGGCAGAGATATAGGCAGAGGGAGAAGCAGGCTCCAGGCAGGGAGCCCGACATGGGACTTGATCCAGGAAGTCGGGGATCAGGGCCTCAGCCAAAGGCAGACACTCAACCGCTGAGTCACCCAGGAGTCCCTGTCTCCTTTCCTGCTTGGCTAATTAGCAACAGCTTCAGGCATATTTTCACATGACAATATCCATGACCAGAAGAACTGTGTTTGTCTCTGTGTTTCTTTTATATAGGAAGAAAACTCAGCCTATAAAACTAACATTTTATAGGCTAGGTAACATGACTTGCTTGTTCCTAAACCAGTCACTGGTAAGTCAGGTACTGTGATTAGCTTAGAATAATCCTTTCTCCTTTTGCAACTGGGGCAAGACCACATTCTTTGTGTATTGGGACACTAAATATCCAAATAAAGCTATGGTTCTCCAGCAAGAATGAAGAATATGGAATGTCTGTTGGGGGAGGGAGCCAGCAGGGATTGATAGGAGAATTTGAAATAGAAGAGTAATCAGATTAGATTTGAATTAGGGCCCTTTGGTTATGGCATAAAATGGGGATCACCAAGCTTTTCTTAAAAGGGCCAGATAGTGAATATTTTAGGCCCTGGGGTCTCACACTCTGCCACTGTCGTGTGAAAGTAGCCATAGCAATATGTATTGCAATAGATGTGACTGTGCTCCATTACAACTTTATTTACAGAACCAGATGGCAGGTTGGATTTGGCCCGTGGCCATAGTTTGCAGGCATCTCGTGTGGAGGATAGATTGAAGAATACCAAGTTTAAAGATACTGGAAGACAAAGGAAGCTTTTATTTCCTTAGCCAAGTATCAGTCCATTTTGAAATTTTCAGCCCTCTCTACTGAACAAGTCAGGATGCTCAATTCATTCCATTTAAAATGTTGTTCTTTTTCTCGGCCTTATGTCTTTCTCTAGAAAAGGTTTTGAGAAGAGTTTATTTATTTATTTGAAAGATAGCACAAGAGAGGTGGAAGGACAGAGGGAGAGAGAAAAGCAGACTCCTGAGGGTCTCCACCCAGGACCCCAAGATTGTGACCGGAGCCGAGCTGAACTTTGTGATGAGGTGTTTCATCCTGAACTTAGCAGTCTCCATTGAGGAGCTGGAGACTCCGTTGTGTTCCAGCCAAATATGTATAGTCTGTTTTAACTGCTCCTAGTAGTGGAAGTCCAGGAAAATCATGCTATTTAAGTTTGCCATTGTCACTTTATGATAATGATTCTGCTAATGATACCATTTCCTGTCAGTCTCATAGGGTTTGGTTACAATAATGGTCATTAGAAACATCCACTTGTATGTACCACATTCTGATAACTAGAATTCTTTTGTTGCATTTGGTAAACATAGAGGAGAAAATGAGATTTCTTAATGCATTAACTGCCTACCAATAGTACAATTAATATCCACTGTAGTGTGGTTTCCAGGTGTGGTCCCAAAGGAATACTTTTTAACAAGTCATCATCTGTCTTACACTTTTAATATTCTGTATTTTTCTATTGTTGACGTAAAATGTATTTTCCTGCTTTCTTTACTAGTGGCTACGAAGTCTGAAGAAGTCGCTTTAAGCAGGTAGGACTTTTATGGATTTTTTTTAAATGATGTGTTAACTAAGGAAGTGGAGAGGAAAGGATTTGTTGAGTGTTGTCTTCTGGGCTAGACACTATATTATGTGCTTAATACATATTACTTATTACTTATTAGTCATTGCAATAGTTTCACCAAGGTGCTGTGCTGTTATAGCCTATTTTTTATTAACTAGTCAGCTGTAGTTCAGGGAGATGGATAAATTGACCCAGGATTCCATAGTTAATGAGTAGCAGACCCATGATTTGAATGTTAGCCTGTGTGGCTCCCACATACATGTTTTGCCCCTCAGCAGCACTGGAATTAAGATACAGATCTTAAATCATCCCAGAATGTCAAATTTCATTACGTGTTAACTCTGATTTAGAATTTTCTTAAGAACCAGGCAAGTCCAAGCATTTTCCTAATATATTTGACACAACTAGTGATAGCTAGAGGTAATTATTGCAGTGGTAACTAGTTTCTTGTTTTTACTGTCAAAGATTTTGGAGTGGATCTCAGTTACCTATGGCCACAATACCATAGCTTTTACATAAGCAAGCCCTAATCTGGCAAGCTCTTAGATATAGTGACGTCTGCTCTCCTTGAGATGAATGATTTTTCTGAAAGTGAAGGATATGTAATCTAGGTATAGACCATGTAACGTTAATTAAATTTATCATCTATTTAGAGGGTATTTCTAAACAGTTGTCTATTGACTGACTTCTCAGTCTAATTTTCCCTTTAGGCTGGCACCCTTGATAAGTTCTGTGAAGCTTTTTCTTTTTTGTAGACTTTTTTGCTTTTCTCCATGTCCTTTCTATACTCTTTTCTTGATTTTTTTTTAACTTTCTTCTCCAATTTTCTTGCTGTTTCTTTTATTCCATTTTTATCATTTCTGCAGCTAAGGATTCTCCATTTTTCTAAAGACAAAATGAAAAGCAGATAGAATTTCAGGGTTTTAAAGAATCTTAGAGATGTGTTAATCAAAATACTCTCTGATGCTGTAACCCACGTTTAACATCCTTACCAAATGGTTGTTGAAGTGGAGAATTTGAAACTCAAAAGGGATTAAAGTGACTTACTTGAATTTGATAACTGACAGAAATGAGATTTAAATTTAGACTTTTTCCCTTTTCTCTCATCTTGTAGGTAAGTGATTTAATAATATAAAGATAGGGAGTGGGTCTAGTGTACACGAGACGGGAATTAGCAGGAGAGGGCGTGTTTCAAGAAGAACCACACTGGGTTGAATAGGAAAAAGAGTTTTAGAAATGATGTCAGAATATTGGGGTTTATGACAAGATAGACAGAGATCAATTACAAAAAGAAAGAACACAAGAAATTGGGTGTTGTTTATAAAAGCATATTAAGATAGAGCGTTCAAGAGAGTCCTGAGCAGCATTTCTTTTTGTTGGTTTATTTATTTATTTATTTTAATTTTTATTTATTTATGATAGTTACAGAGAGAGAGAGAGAGAGAGAGAGAGAGAGGCAGAGACACAGGCAGAGGGAGAAGCAGGCTCCTTGCAGGGAGCCTGACTTGGGACTCGAACCTGGGTCTCCAGGATCATGCCCTGGGCTGAAGGTGGCACTAAACCGCTGGGCTACCCATCTGCCCTACTTCAGAGTTTCTGTTGAGAAACATTAAAATCAGTTGAGCCACTGGCAAGAGTATTTACAGCAAATATGAATGGGATATCATCGACTTCTACCCCACCTTACAGAAGGCGGTTTAGATCCTCTCAAATAATGGGGGGAATGGAGATTCTGAACTATGTAAATGTACGGCCCAAGGTCACAAGGTCTTGTGATCGCTCCACCTCTTTTCGTAATTCTCTGATGCCCTTCCCATGTATGTGTAGGGTTTGGTGGGGTAGGACTAGCTGTCAGATCAATAACGGAGCTTCATTTGGGTAGGTGGTAAGGTGCCTACATTGAGATGACTGCATGGATGACTCAGACTCCATTTAGCTGGTTCTCCAGGAGCAGGAAATGGCTCCTATTCTTGGTCATTTGAGCCTTTCCTTGTTTTGGGAATCTGTGCCTTGGCAGGCTATAGACTTAAACGTTGGAGAGTGCCACTGAGCCCTGCAGAGGAGTGATCCAGGAGTGGGAGCTCACAAAAAGAAAATATTAGGCAGTGTGTGGGGAAATAGAGGCACAATATCAGGACTATTTTTATAGCAGTCTCTCTTCTTGGGTATCTGAGTGCCCTTGATGATTTTTAAGGTCTTGCTAGATTATGTGGACGTAAATAAGGCAGGACTTGTGAAACTTGGATTTTATAATTTTTAATCTTTTAATCTCTTCGGGAATAGTATTCCCACTAATAACATATAAATTTGTTCTTTAACATCTGTAGATAGTTCCTTTTTAAAATTAAATATAGTTGATACAACGTCATGTTGGTTTCATGTGTACAACATAGTGATTCAGCAGGTCTATGTTGTTACCCCATGCTTACCACAAGTGTAGCTACCATGTGTTATTGCATGTTGCTATTACAGTACTATTGACTATATTCCCTATGCTGTACTTTTATTTTTATCCCTGTGACTTACTATAACTGGAATGCTGAACCTCCCACTTCCCTTCACCCATTTTTGTCTGTCCCCCACCCACTTCCCTTCTGGCAATACAGAATTCTCTGTACTTATGGGTCTGGTTCTGCTTTTTGGTTGTTTGTTCATTTGTTCTGCTTCTTCGATTCTACATATAAGTGAAATCATACAGTATTTGTTTATTTTGCTCTGACTTGTTTCACTTAGCTTAATACCCTCCAGGTAATCCACATTGTTGCAAATGGTAAGGTTTCATTCTTTTTTATGGCTGAGTAATATTGCTCTGTGTGTGTGTGTGTGTGTGTGTGTGTGTGTGTTATACATCTGTTGATGGACACAGGTTACTTTCATATCTTGGCTGTTGTAAATAATGCTGCAATAAACATTGGGGTACATATGTCTTTTCAAATTAGTGTTTTCTTTTTTGGGGGGTAAGTAAGTACCCAGTAGTGGATTACTGGATCATGTGGTATTTCTATTTGTACTTCTTCAAGGAAACTCCATTTTGTTTTTTACAGTGGCTGCCCCAATTTCTATCCCCATCACCAGCTCACGAGTATTCCTTATTCTCTGCATCCTCACCAATATTTTTTTGTGTGTGTTGTTTTTTTTTAATAATAAATTTATTTTTTATTGGTGTTCAATTTACCAACATACAGAATAACACCCAGTGCTCATCCTGTCAAGTGCCCCCCTCACTGCCCGTCACCCATTCACCCCCACCCCCCACCCTCCTCCCCTTCCACCACCCCTAGTTTGTTTCCCAGAGTTAGGAGTCTTTATGTTCTGTCTCCCTTTCTGATATTTCCCACACATTTCTTCTCCCTTCCCTTATATTCCCTTTCAGTATTATTTATATTCCCCAAACGAATGAGAACATATAATGTTTGTCCTTCTCCAATTGACTTACTTCACGCAGCATAAGACCTTCCAGTTCCATCCACATTGAAGCAAATGGTGGGTATTTGTTGTTTCTAATGGCTGAGTAATATTCCATTGTATACATAAACCACATCTTCTTTATCCATTCATCTTTCAAAGGACACTGAGGCTCCTTCCGCAGTTTGGCTATTGTGGACATTGCTGCTAGAAACATCAGGGTGCAGGTGTCCCGGCGTTTCATTGCATCTGTATCTTTGGGGTAAATCCCTAACAGTGCAATTGCTGGGTCGTAGGGCAGGTCTATTTTTAACTCTTTGAGGAACCTCCACACAGTTTTCCAGAGTGGCTGCACCAGTTCACATTCCCACCAACAGTGCAAGAGGGTTCCCTTTTCTCCGCATCCTCTCCAACATTTGTGGGTTCCTGCCTTGTTAATTTTCCCCATTCTCACTGGTGTGAGGTGGTATCTGTTGTTGTGTGTGTTTTTGATTCTAGCCATTCTGACAGGTGGAAGGTGATAATTCATGGTGGTTAACTTTTGTCCAGTTAGCTGTCAGACATTTCAGAGAATTCCTTACCTGTCACACTTAGTTATGGGAACTACAACTGGGCCTCTACTGGGCATTTCACAGGTTAGGAGAGGTGAAAGCAAAATAGATAACTAAACCCTTTTTAAAAACAGAAGCCAAGGGGCGCCTGGCTGGCTCAGTCGGTTAAGCGACTGCCTTTGGCTTGGGTCATGATGTCAGGGTACTGGGATAGAGCCACATATAAGGCTCTCTGCTCAGCAGGGGCCCTGTTTCTTTCCCCTCCCTCCACCTGCCTCTCTGCCTACTGTGCTCTCTCTCTCTCTCTTTCTCTCTCTCTCTTTCTCTGAAATAAATAAATAAGTAAATAAATAAATAAATAATAACATCTTAAAAAAATAGCACAGAGGCCAAATTTTGAAAGACCTGTATTCTGAATACATTGGTGAAAGCAATTGAGGATGACACAAAGATGTGGAAAGAATTCCATCTCATAGATTAGAAGAGCACCTGTTGTTAAACTGTGTATAGGACCCAAAGCAATCTACAAATTTAGTGCAATGCCTACTAAAGTCTTACATCAACATGTTTCACAGAACTAGAGCAAACAACCCTAAATTTATATGGAACCACTGAAGACTTCAAATAGCCAAAGCAATATTGGAAAAAGAAAAACATAACTGGAGATATCTTTATGCTAGATTTCAAGTGATATTACAAAGCTGTAGTAATCAAAACGGCATAGTGTTCGCATTAAATGGATACAAAAATTAGTAGAATAGTATAGAAAATCCAGAAATAAACTATAATGATATGGTTAATTAATCTTTGACAAAGCAAGAAAGAATATCCAATGGTTTGAAAAGGCAGTCTCTTCAATAAATGATGCTAGGAAAACTGAATGGGTATATAAAAGATTGAAACAGGACCACGTTCTTTCACCGTTTACAAAAATAAATTCAAAATGGTTTAAAGATATAAATATATCACATGAAACCATTTTATCCTTGAAGAGAGCACAGACAATGATCTCTCTGGTATTAGCTGTAGCCAGGTTTTTTTTTTTTTTTTTTTTTTTTTTTTTAATGTCTCCTGAGGCAAGAGCAATAGAAGCAAAATAAACTGTTGGGGCTACATGAAAATCAAAAGCTTTTGCAGTGAAGGAATCAATCCACAAAACTAAAAGGCAACCTTACAGAATGGGAGAAGACATTTGCATATGACATATCTGATAAAGGTTAGTATAAGAATATAAAGAACTGATACATCTCAACACCCAAAACACAATCCAGGTCAAGAATGATCAGAATATATCAGACATTTTTCCAAAGAAGATGTCCAGTTGGCCAACAGACATATAAAAAGATGATCAGCATCACACGTCATCAGGGAAATGCAAATCAAAACTACAATGAGATAGCACTGCACACCTGTCAGAATGGCTAAAATCAAAACCACAAGAAACAAGTGTAGGTGAGGATGTGGAGAAAAAAGAACGCTGTTGCTCTTTTGGTGGAAGTGCAAACTGGGACAGCCCCCATGGGAAACAGTATGGAGGTTCCTCAAAAAGTTAAAAACAACTACTAACAATCCAAGAATTGCACTCCTGCGTATTTACCCAGATATGACAAACACACCAATTCAAAGGGATACATGCACCTCATGTTTTTACTACAGCATTATTTGCAATCATCAGCCTAAGTGTGCTTGTTGATGGATTAGTGAATAAAAAGTGGTGTGTGTGTGTGTATATATATATATATATATACACACACACACACACACCAATATGCACACACACAATGGAATATTGTTCAGCCATTGAAAAGAATGACATCTTGTCATTTGCATGGTGAGAGCTAGAGCGTATTACGCTAAGCAGTGTAAGTCAGAGAAAGACAAATATGATTTCACTCCTAAGTAACATGTAAGAAACAAAATAAAAATGAGCGAAGGAGACAGAAAAGACAGATTTACCAAGAAGAAGACTGCTATAGAGAACAAACTGATGGTTACCAGGGGGGATGTTGGTAGGGGGATGGGTGAAATAGGAGATGGGAATTAAGGAATGCACTAGTCATGATGAGCACTGGGTGATGTATGGAATTACCAAATCATTATATTGTATATATGAAACTAATGTAACACTGTGTGTTAAGGGTACTGGAATTAAAAATAAAAGCTTAACCAAAATGAGGCTAAATTTTCGTATTTCAAGAAACTTCATTAATAAACAGCTGACCTTTTACTCGATTTTTCTTTTAAAAGAAATGAACTTGTCTTTGTTTTCTATTTTTGCTGTAAAGTCTTATCCGCAAAGCTGATACTGATGATTCAAGGCCCTCAAAACATGAAGACTTAAGTTCTGATACCAAGGTAAAGTACTCTCTTGTAAAATTAATTTTCCTGCTCTGAGTTTAGTGTTGTGTATTATTTACTCTTAAAATATAAAGTGGCTTGCCTCTTGTCATTTTATGTTTTTTTAAACTTTTTTTTATTGGAGTTCTATTTGCCAACATTTAGCATAACACCCAATGCTCATCCCGCCAAATGACCCCCTCAGTACCCACCACCCAGTCACCCCAACCCCCCACCCACCTCCCTTTCCACAACCCCTTATTCATTTCCCAGAGTTAGGTGTCTCTCATATTCTGTCACTCTCACTGATATTTTCACTCATTTTTTCTCCTCTCCCTATATTCCCTTTCACTAATTCTTATATTCCCCAAATGAATGAGAACATATAATGTTTGTCCTTCTCAAATTGACTTATTTAAGTCAGCATAATACCCTCCAGTTCCAACCACGTTAAAGCAAATGGTGGGTATTTGTCGTTTCTAATGGCTGAGTAATATTCCATTGTATACATAAACCACATCTTCTTTATCCATTCATCTTTCGATGGACACCAAGGCTCCTTCCACAGTTTGGCTATTGTGGACATTGCTGCTATAAACATTGGGGTGCAGGTGTCCTGGCGTTTCACTGCATCTGTATCTTTGGGTAAATCCTCAGAAGTGCAATTGCTGGGTCATAGGGCAGTTCTATTGTTAACTCTTTGAGGAACCTCCACACAGTTTTCCAGGGTGGCTGTACCTGTTCAGATTGCTACCAACAGTGCAAGAGGGTTCCCCTTTCTCTGCATCCTCTCCAAAATTTGTGGTTTCCTGCCTTGTTAATTTTCCCCAACTCACTGGTGGAAGGTGATACCTCATTGTGGTTTTGATTTGTATTTCCCTGATGGCCAGTGATGCGGAGTATTTTCTCATGTGCTTGTTGGCCACGTCTGTGTCTTCCTCTGTGAAATTTCTGTTCATGTCTTTTGCCCATATCATGATTGGATTGCTTGTTTCTTTGCTGTTGAGTTTACTAAGTTCTTTATAGATCGTGGAAACTAGCCCTTTATCTGATAGGTCATTTGCAAATATCTTCTCCCATTCTGTAGGTTGCCTTTTAGTTTTATTGACTGTTTCTTTTGCTGTGCAGAAGCTTCTTACCTTGATGAAGTCCCAATAATTCATTTTTGCTTTGGTTTCTCTTCCCTTCAGGGATGTATCTTGCAAGAAGTTGCTGTGGCCAAGTTCAGAAAGGGTGTTGCCTGTGTTCTCCTCTAGGATTCTGATGGATTCCTGTCTCACATTTAGATCTTTCATCCATTTTGAGTTTATCTTTGTGTATGGTGTAAAAAGGTCGTCCAGTTTCATTCTTCTGCATGTGGCTGTCCAATTTTACCAGCACCATTTATTGAAGAGACTTTTTTCCAGTGGATAGTCTTTACTGCTTTGTCGAATATTAGTTGACCATAAAGTTGAGAGTCCACTTCCGGATTCTGCATTCTGTTCCATTGATCTATGTGTCTGTTTATGTGCCAGTACCACACTGTCTTGATGACCACAGCTTTGTAGTACAACCTGAAATCTGGCATTGTGATGCCCCCAGCTCTGGTTTTCTTTTTTAATATTCCCCTAGCTGTTTGGGGTCTTTTCTGATTCCACACAAATCTTAAGATGATTTGTTCCAACTCTCAGAAGAAGGTCCATAGTATGTTGATAGGGATTGCATTAAATGTGTAAATTGCCCTGGGTAGCATTGAAATTTTTCCAATCCATGAGCCTGGCATATTTTTTCATCTCTTTGTGTCTTCCTCAGTTTCCTTCAGAAGTGTTCTGTAGTTTTGAGGGTGGAGACACTTTACCTCTTTGGTTATATATATTCCTAAGTATCTTATGCTTCTGGGTGCATTTGTAATTGAGATGGACTCCTTAATTTCTCTTTCTTCAGTCTCATTGTTCGTGTATAGAAATGCCCTGATTTCTGAGCATTGATTTTATATCGTGCCACAATGCCGGATTGCTGTATGAGTTCTAGCAATCTTGGGGTGGAATCTTTTGGGTTTTCTTTTTCTTTAAGATTTTATGTATGTATGTATGTATGTATGTATGTATGTATGTATGTATGAGATACAGTGAGAGAGAGAGAGGCAGAGACACAGGCAGAGGAAGAAGCAGGCTCCACAGAGGGAGCCAAACGGGTTACTCGATCCCGGGTCCCCAGGATCAGGCGCTGAGCTGAAGGAGGCGCTAAACCGCTGAGCCACCCAGGGTGCCCTCTTTTGGGTTTTCTGTGCACAGTATCATGTCATCTGCAAAGAGGGAGAGTTTGACTTCCTCTTTGCCAGTTTGAATGTCTTTTGTTTCTTTTTGTTGCCTGATTGCTGAGGCTAGGACTTCTAGTACTATGTTGAAGAGCAGTGGTGAGAGTGGACATCCCTGTCTTGTTCCTGATCTTAGGGGTAAGGCTCCCAGTGTTTCCCCATTGGGAACGATATTTTCTGTGGGCTTTCCATAGATGGCTTTTAAGATGCTGAGGAATATTCCCTCTATCCCTACGCCCTGAAGAGTTTTGATCAGGACTGGTTGCTGTATTTTGTCAAATGCTTTCTCTGCATCTATTGGGAGGATCATGTGGTTCTTGTTTTTTTCTCTTGCTGATATGATGAATCACATTGATTGCTTTAAGAGTGTTGAAGCAGCCTTGCATCCCGGGGATAAATCCCACTGGGTCATGGTGAATCATCTTCTTAATGTATTGTAGGATCCTGTTGGCTAGTATCTTGTTGAGAATTATTGCATCCATGTTCATCAGGGATATTGGTCTATAATTCTCCTTTTTGATGGGATCTGTGTGTGGTTTTGCAATTAAGGTGATGCTGGCATCATAGAACGAGTTTGGAAGTACTCCATCCCTTTCTATCTTTCATAACAGCTTTAGTAGAATAGGTATGGTTTCTTCTTTAAACCTTTTTTTTTAATTTATTTTATTTATTTTATTTTTTTCTATTTTTTTTAAATTTTTATTTATTTATGATAGTCACAGAGAGAGAGAGAGAGAGAGAGGCAGAGACACAGGCAGAGGGAGAAGCAGGCTCCATGCACCGGGAGCCCGATGTGGGATTCGATCCCAGGTCTCCAGGATCGTGCCCTGGGCCAAGGCAGGCGCCAAAACGCTGTGCCACCCAGGGATCCCTCTTCTTTAAACTTTTGATAGAATTCCCCTGGGAAGCCATCTGCCCCTGGACTTTTGTGTCTTGGTAGGTTTTTGATGACTGCTTTAGTTTCCTCCCTGGTTATTGGCCTGTTCAGGTTTTCTATGTCTTCCTGTTGCAGTTTTGTAGTTTGTGGTTTTCCAGAAACGCACCCATTTCTTCTCGATTGTCTAATTTATTGGCGTAAAGCTGCTCATACTAAGTTTTCAAAATCGTTTGTATTTCCTTGGTGTTGGTGGTGATCCCTCCTCTCTCGTTCATGATTTTATTAATTTGAGTCTTCTCTCTCTTCTTTTTAATAAGGTTGGCTAATGGTTTATCTGTCTTATTAATTCTTTCAAAGAACCAACTCCTGGTTTTGTTGATCTGTTCCACAGTTCTTCTGGTCTCTATCTCATTGAGTTCTGCTCGAATCTTTATTAATTGTCTTCTTCTGCTGGGTGAAGGTTTCAGTTGCTGTTCCTTCTCCAGCTCCTTTAGGTGCAAGGTTAGCTTTTGCATTGAGTTCTTTCCAGTTTGGGGACGGATGCTGGTATTGCGATGTATTTCCCCCTCAGGACTGCTTTTGCTGTATCCCAAAGATTTTGAACGGTTGTATCTTCATTCTCATTAGTTTCCAGGAATCTTTTTAATTCTTCTCTAATTTCCTGGTTGACCCTTTCATCATTTAGCAGGATGGTCGTTAACTTCCACGTGTTTGAAATCCTTCCGTATTTCTTTTTGTGGTTTAGTTCTAATTTCAAAGCATTATGGTCTGAAAATATGCAGGGGACAATCCGAATCTTTTGGTATCGGTTAAGACCTGATTTGTGACCCAGTATGTGGCCTATTCTGGAGAAAGTTCCACGTGCACTTGAGAAGAATGTGTATTCAGTTGCATCTGGATGTCAAGTTCTGTAAATATCTGTGAAATCCATCTGGTCCAGTGTATCATTTAAAGCGCTTATTTCTTTAGAGATGTTGTACTTAGAAGACCTATCGAGTGTAGAAAGCACTAGAATGAAGTTACCAAGTATATGTGTATTATTATCTAAGTATGTCCTAACTTTGGTTATTAATTGTTTGTTATACTTGGCAGCTCCTGGATTTGGGGCATACATATTCATGATTGTTAGGTCCTCTTTTTGGAGAGATCCTTTAGTATGATATAGTGTCCCTCTTCATCTCCTACTACCGTCTTTGGGATAAAGTTTAACTTATCTGATGTCATTTTATGTTTGTAATGGAAGGTTGGTCAGTACATTTTAGAGAAATATGGCAGGTTGAATTTTTTTTTTTTTTTACTTTGGTAAATCGGCAGAAAAAATAGGTAGGAACATATATAATGACAGCAAACTTTTATTGGGAAAAGCTTTCCCATGTTGGAGGGAAAATGACATTTGGTCAGGGATCAGAATTCTTACTGTTGTGATTTTTAAATTATACTAACATTGATTTTATTGATTCATTTAATGAATTAATTTATTTATTGCTATCATGACTTTTATAATACTCATGCCTAACTGAAATCTTTAGTGGATCCAATTAATGTAGGTTAGGTTTTTTTTCTTGGATACTTTTCTTTGTTGGACATTTTTTTTATCTTGTTAGCATATAGTTTTACCAGAGAGGACTCAGTTCTCTATTTCTATCCTTTTTGTTACATTTAGACTAAAATAATAGAAATTGTGGAAAATCAGGGATTGTTTCTCAAAATTTATATTGCTATGGTATTCCACTGTGTTTTTGAAATCATTCCATTAAGAGTGTAGTTAACACTCTTTATCTAAGTGAAGAATACAAGTATTGCCTAAAACAATAATCAGCTCTAGAAGCGGAGGCTCTTCCTAACCCCGTGGTAAAATGTCCATTCTCAGAATTCTTTTATAGTAAAGTGCTAAAAATATCTACTCATAGTCCTTGTGTCTGATGTTCAAATTTAAAATTTTAGATATTTTATATTTATTTACATATTCATTTTAAAGACCCTGCTTCATTATAAGGTAGTAGATTATGTTAGGAAACAGTCGTGCTTCTCCTGGAACACCTAAAATAAGATCTTGCTTGGAAGAAGCAATTTAATATTTTTTGAATGTGAATAAGTGAGCAGACAGATGGAATTCTGTAAAATGGAATGTTATAAGTATTATGCATAATATGTCATAAATATATAAATTTAAAAAGTATAGTTCAAATTTATATTTCCTTTTCCCATTTAGGATTTACAAGCTCAAATGAATTATGTTGAGGAAATAAAGAAATAAGAAAGAAAGTTATGTTTTTTAGTATCCTTCAATTGTCAACTTAGAATTTTATTTTATTTTATTTTATTTTTTATTTTTTTTTAATTTATGATAGTCACAGAGAGAGAGAGAGAGAGAGGCAGAGACATAGGCAGAGGGAGAAGCAGGCTCCATGCACCGGGAGCCCGATGTGGGATTCGATCCCGGGTCTCCAGGATCGCGCCCTGGGCCAAAGGCAGGCGCCAAACCGCTGCGCCACCCAGGGATCCCAACTTAGAATTTTAGATAAAAATTCCTCACCTTTTGTTTTTTTAACCCCATCTATATTACATTAGATACAGGCTTTCAAGGTATACATTTCTTCTTAGAATTCTCATTACCAGTTCTTATTCCACGTGGAAAGTTGATGTGTTTGAAACATTTCTTTTTCAATTTTTTTCTCTCTCTAGTGATAATTTATACCGTCCAGGTTGTGAGAGATGACCACTATCTGAAAAATTTACTTTATGGTGAAAAAAGTAAATTCTTACTTTTTAGATTTTATTTTTTATTTATGTGAGACACACACAGTGATGTGGGACTCGATCCCGAGACTCCAGGATCATGCCCTGAGCCAAATGCAGACACTCCACCACTGAGCCACCCAGGCATCCCAAAACTAAATTCCTTATTTACAATATTTATAAACAACTGTAGAGTAAGAAAAGTCAGTATTATTAGGGATATAGTATAAACAAAAGTCTCTTAAACTTTTTTCAGTTACATTTTATAAATATATCTATTATATAAATGTTATATGTATATATAAAACAGAGGCGGCTGTTCATTGTATATTCCTAACTATACACACACACACACACACACACACACACACACACACACACACACACATAGTGTGGCCTGTGGAAAAAATGGTTAGGTTATTACCTAGTATTACCTAGTATTACCTAGTATTAATACTAACCTAACCATTTTTTCCACAGGCCTTTTTTAACTTACATTTTTCCCTGCCTTAAGCTCATGCTTGATTGGTCATGTCTTATGTTTTTCTTTTTTTCTTCTTCTTCCTGCATTCTTTAATGGTTTTATTTATTCAGGACAGACACACAGAGAGAGAGAGAGAGAGAGAGAGAGAGAGAGAGAGAGGCAGGCAGAGACACAGGCAGAGGGAGAAGCAGGCTCCATACAGGGAGCCTGACGGTGGGACTTGATCCTGGGGCTCCAGGATCTCGCCCTGGGCCGAATGCAGACACTCAACCACTGAACCACCATGGCTGTCCTCCCTGCATTTTTTTGTTCATGACTTTCCCGTACCCTAATTTTTCCTTACATGGGGGAAAACAAAACAAAACACGTTTCTTTAGTGTCTGTTCTTTCAGTCCATCTCTTTCTATGTTTATGGTCAATATTTTTGATTATGCCTTTCTGTTGTCTGTGTGTGTCTGTGGTTTTCATTCCTGAATCATTACCCCACAAGCCTTATTATTTTTCTCACTTTCCTGGAAGGAGCTGATGTTAGACTATCATTTATCCTTAGCATTTTGATAAACAAAAGCAACTTAAACTGTTTGTAGTGCCAACTTGCCCAAATGAATACTACTAAAAACTAAATTTTAATATTTTCTCTTAGATCGTCATGCAATTATAAATCATGCAAACACATCTAAAAATTTTTAAATATATAATAAAATAATTTTAAAAAATATTGTATTCATTTATTCATGAGAGAGGTAGAGACAGAGGCAGAGGGAGGAGAAGCAGGCTCCATGCAGGGAGCCTGATGTGGGACTCTGGGATCACACCCTGAGCCGAAGGCAGATGCTCAACCACTGAGCCACACAGGCGTCCCAATAATGACATTTCTTATTGTTAGTTTTTTTTTAAAGATTTTATTTATTTATTCATAGAGACAGAGAGAGAGGCAGAGACACAGGCAGAGGGAGAAGCAGGCATCATACAGAGAGCCTGGTGTGGGACTCGATCCAGGGTCCCCAGGATCACACGCTGGGCTGCAGGCGGTGCTAAACCGCTGCGCCACCGGGGCTGCCCTTATTGTTAGTTTTTTGAATTTAAATTACCTAGGGATAAATTTTTATTTTAAGACATTTTGGTAAAGAAAGTATTTTAAAAAAGTTTTTTTAAGATTTTTTATTTATTCATGATAGACATAGGGAGAGAGAGGCAGAGACACAGGCAGAGGGAGAAGCAGGCTCCATACAGGGAACCTGACATGGGACTCGATCCCGGGTCTCCAGGAATCACACCCTGGGCCAAAGGCAGGTGCTAAACCACTGAGCTACCCAGGGGTCACCTTTTTAAAATTTTTTAATTCAAATTAATTAACATATAGCGTATTATTAGTTTCAGAGGTAGAATTCAGTGATCCATCAGTTGCATACATCACCCAGTGCTTATTACTTCAAGGGCCCTTCTTAATGCCCATCACCCAATTACCCCATTGCCCCAACCCTCTCCCCTCCAACAACACTCAGTTTATTTCCTATGATTAAGAGTCTCTTACGGTTTGTCTCTCTCTCTGATTTTATCTTATTTTTCCCTCTCTTCCGCTATGCACCTCCATTTTGTTTCTTAAATTCCACATAGGATTGAAATCATATGGTATTTGTCTTTCTCTAACTTATTTCACTTAGTATAATACTCTTAAGTCCCATCTATGTTATTGCAAATGGCAAGATTTCATTCTTTAGGATGGCTGAGTAATATTCCATTGTATTTATACACACTGTATCTTCTTTATCCATTCATCTATCAATGGGCATCTGGCTTTTTCTGTAGTTTGGCTATTGTGGTCATTGCTGCTTTAAACGTTGGGGTGCTGGTGCCCTTTCAAATCACTATGTTTGTATCCTTTGGATAAATACTGAGTATTGCGATTGCTGGGTCATAGGATAGCTCTATTTTTTTTTCCTAAATTTTTATTTACTTATGATAGTCACAGAGAGAGAGAGAGGCAGAGACATAGGCAGAGGGAGAAGCAGGCTCCACTCACCGGGAGCCCGACGTGGGATTCGATCCCGGGTCTCCAGGATCGCGCCCTAGGCCAGAGGCAGGCACTAAACCGGAGGGCGCCACCCAGGGATCCCGGATAGCTCTATTTTTATTTAACTTTTTGAGGAAGACTTTGTATAATAATCAGGGGTAAGAAAAGTACCATTTTGGGACTATTAAATCTCTTATAATCTTCACCCCATGAGAAACTGTAGGTTAGTAAACGGCGGAACTGAGATTTGAATCTCTATTTGAATGATCTCCAAAACCTGTGTTCTTTTTGTAATGGCGTTCATTTGGTAATGGTGAATATTACAATTATTTTTACGAAATGTGATACTTGTAATTCTGAAAACTATCAATTTTTTTCTAGACTGTCCCGAAACTAAACTTTAGAAAGCTAATGGCTGCTTTTCGGCGACCCAAGAGTAAGCTATTTGAAGATTTGTGTTATTCACTGAGTTTTGTCCATTTTTGTGTTATTTAGCAATTCAAAATTACAGATATCTTCATGTACTCTTTACTTTGTTTTTCACTATATAGGAGCAAAATGTGGTCTTGTGAGCCAAGAAGATAGACCTTTATTTGCTGACAACAATTTTTCAAGGGAAGATAAGACTGAAACTCTTTGTAAACCATCAGTCAGTGTCTCTGACTCTTCTCCTCTTGCTTTTGTATCACCTGAAACTCCTCAAACGTCTTTAGCAATGCTTGGTGTTACAAAGGTAAGTTGTTTTGAACTTTGTCCCCCATGTTTTTTCACATACCATCCTCTTGATATACTTATAATGAAAAGAATCTTAGGGAGAAATGGAAGCCCTCAAGAATATAAGAGAAAACAGTGTAATAACAACAGAGAAGTAAGTACTGGGTTGAGATTTATTACGGGTGGTGGGAATAAACAAACTTAGGCATGTCATTATGGAAGGAAAGAATTAGAAAGCAACTGGAAAGAATAGTTAGATGGATGTGAAGATGAGGGAGGGGTTGTGGGATAAGAATTAATTTAATAAGGATGAGATGAATGTAAAGATAGGAGAGATTAGAGAGATTATTATTAAAAACACAGCAGTAGTGAGGCTAAGGTAGAACAGATGCTGTATATTATAAAATACGGTAGAAATTATTTTAAATGCAAGTTAATAAAAGGCAATACAAAAAATGCTCAGATTCTTCAGAATGACAGCTGGTTCTTATGAAGAACTGGAAGGAAATTTTATCCTTTTAAGTTTAATACAGTATGATAGCCTATATTTAATTTAGCAAGAGTTGTGTTTAACATAGTACAAAGTGAAGTCTGTTTTAAGCCGTAATCAGATTTATTATGAGTTTTGAATTTTGGCTGTTGTCTTTCTTGTGGTTTCTTACTGTGTGGTATAATCTTGGTCGACTTTATATCTTTTGAGAATAGAGAGGACATAAATAAACATTTTAGTTTTTTCATTAATTAAAACTGAATTTTTTTCTTAGGTAAGTGAGGTTCTTTTTTTTTTATGATAGGCACACAGTGAGAGAGAGAGAGAGGCAGAGACACAGGCAGAGGGAGAAGCAGGCTCCATGCACCGGGAGCCCGACGTGGGATTCGATCCTGGGTCTCCAGGATCGCGCCCTGGGCCAAAGGCAGGCGCCAAACCGCTGTGCCACCCAGGGATCCCGGTAAGTGAGGTTCTTAATCTCTATCCATTAAATGAAAACAATAAATTTTAAGCTGCAAAATTCTTAAAAAATATAAAAACTATCTTCTAGATTCTGATGCATCTTTTTTAAAATATAAGCTTAGAATAGAGACACATGTCAAATGAATAAACTCATGATTTATCATTTCTTTATAAGATGATTTATCATAGAATCGTAAGGAAGGAAAAGTTGACCATAGAGTATACAATATTATTTCCAGAAGGATGATCTTTACTTTCTCAAAGATCTCCAACAGTGGATACATTTTACGTTATCTCGGGAAACTTTAGTCTTCATAGTTGTTATATTTTGTATTTTTTAATTTTGTATTTTATTTGTAATTTTTTTTATTGGAGTTCAATTTGTCAACATATATCATAACACCCAGTGCTCATCCTGCCAAGTGACCCCCCTCAGTGCCCATCACCCACTCACCCCAACGCCTGCCCGCTTCCCCTTCCACTACGCCTTGGTCATTTCCCAGGGTTAGGTGTCTCTCATGTTTTGTCACTATTACTGATATTTTCACTCAATTTCTCTACTTTCCCTTTATTCCCTTTCACTAATTTTTATATTCCCCAAATGAATGAGACCATATAATGTTTGTCCTTTAAAGACTGACACATTGCACTCAGTATAATACCCTCCAGGTCCCTCCACCTCAGAGCAAATGGTGGGCATTTGTCGTTTCTAATGGCTGAGTAATATTCCATTGTATACATAGACCACATCTTCTTTATCCATTCGTCTTTCGATGGACACCGAGGCTCCTTCCACAGTTAGTCTACTGTGGACATTGCTGCAAGAAACATTGGGGTGCAAGTGTCCTGGCATTTCACTGCATCTGTATCTTTGGAGTAATCCCCAGCAGTGCAATTGCTGAGTCGTAGGACAGATCTATTGTTAAGTCTTTGAGGAACCTCCACACAGTTCTCCAGAGTGGCTGTGCCAGTTCACATTCCCAGCAGCAGTGCAAGAGGGTTCCCCCTTCTCCACATCCTCTCCAAATTTGTTGTTTCCTGCCTTGTTAATTTTGCCCATTTTCACTGGTGGGAGGTGGTATCTCATTGTGGTTTTGATTTGTACTTCCCTGATGGCCAGTGATGCGGAGTATTTTCTCATGTGCTTGTTGGCCATGTCTGTGTCTTCCTCTGTGAAATTTCTGTTCATGTCTTTTGCCCATATCATGATTGGATTGTTTCTTTGAGTTTACTAAGTTCTTTATAGATCGTGGATACTAGCCCTTTATCTGATAGGTCATTTGCAAATACCTTCTCCCATTCTGTAGGTTGTTATGTTGACTGTTTCTTTTGCTGTGCAGAAGCTTCTTACCTTGATGAAGTCCCAATAATTCATCTTTGCTTTGGTTTCTCTTCCCTTCAGGGATGTATCTTGCAAGAAGTTGCTGTGGCCAAGTTCAAAAAGGGTGTTGCCTGTGTTCTCTTCTAGGATTTCTGATGGATTCCTGTCTCACATTTAGATCTTTCATCCATTTTGAGTTTTTCTTTGTGTATGGTGTAAGAGAATGGTCCAGTTTCATTCTTCTGCATGTGGCTGTCCAATTTTCCCAGAACCATTTATTGAAGAGACTGTCTTTTTTCCAGTGGATAGTCTTTCCTGCTTTGTCGACTGTTATTTGAGCATAGAGTTGAGGGCCCACTTCTGGATTCTCCATTCTGTTTCCATTGATCTGTGTGTCTGTTTTTGTGCCAGTACCACACTTGATGACCAAGCTTGATGACCACAGCTTTGTAGTACAACCTGAAATCTGGCATTGTGATGCCCCCAGCTCTGGTTTTCTTTTTTAATATTCCCCTAACTATTTGGGGTCTTTTCTGATTCCACAGAAATCTTAAGATGATTTGTTCCAACTTTCTGAAGAAAGTCCATAGTATGTTGATAGGGATTGCATTAAGTGTGTAAATTGCCCTGGGTAACATTGACATTTTCCCAATATTCATTCTGCCAATCCATGAGCATGGTATATTTTTCCATCTCTTTGTGTCTTCCTCAATTTCCTTCAGAAGTGTTCTGTAGTTTTGAGGGTAGAAACCCATTACCTCTTTGGTTATGTATATTCCTTGTTACCTTATTCTTTTGGGTGCAATTGTAATTGGGATTGACTCCTTCATTTCTCTTTCTTCAGTCTCATTGTTAGTGTATAAAAACGCCACTGTTTTTCTGGGCCTTGATTTTGTATCCTGCCACACTGCCAAATGGCCGTGAGTTCAAGCAATCTTGGGTTGGTGTCTCTTGGGTTTTCTAGCTACATTATCATGTCATCTGCAAAGAGGGAGAGTTTGACTTCCTCTTTGACAGTTTGAATGTCTTTTATTTCTTTTTGTTGCCTGATTGCCGAGGCTAGGACTTCTGGTACTATGTTGAATAGCAATGGTGAGAGTGGACATCCCTGTCTTGTTCCTGATCTTAGGGGACAGGCTCCCAGTGTTTCCCCATTGAGAACGATATTTTCTGTGGGCTTTTCATAGATGGCTTTTAAGATGCTGAGGAATGTTCCCTCTATCCTTACACTCTGAAGAGTTTTGATCAGGACTGGATGCTGTATTTTGTCAAATGCTTTCTCTGCATCTATTGGGAGGATCATGTGGTTCTTGTTTTTTTTCTCTTGCTGATATGATGAATCACATTGATTGCTTTAAGAGTGTTGAAGCAGCCTTGCATCCCGGGGAATACATCCCACTGGGTCATGGTGAATCATCTTCTTAATGTATTGTTGGATCCTGTTGGCTAGTATCTTGTTGAGAATTATTGCGTCCATGTTCATCAGGGATATTGGTCTATAATTCTCCTTTTTGATGGGATCTGTGTGTGGTTTTGCAATTAAGGTGATGCTGGCATCATAGAACGAGTTTGGAAGTACCTCCATCCCTTTCTATCTTTCATAACAGCTTTAGCGGAATAGGTATGGTGTGTTCTTTAAACATTTGATAGAATTCCCTTGGGAAGCCATCTGGCCTTGGACTTTGGTGTCTTGGTAGGTTTTAGATGACTCCTTCAGTTTCCTCCCTGGTTATTGGCCTGTTCAGGTTTTCTATTTCTTCCTGTTGCAGTTTTGTAGTTTGTGGTTTTCCAGAAATGCACCCATTTCTGCTCGATTGCCTAATTTATTGGCATAAAGCTGCTCATACTAAGTTTTCAAAATCGTTTGTATTTCCTTGGTGTTGGTGGTGATCCCTCCTCTCTCGTTCATGATTTTATTAATTTGAGTCTTCTCTCTCTTCTTTTTAATAAGGTTGGCTAATGGTTTATCTGTCTTATTAATTCTTTCAAAGAACCAACTCCTGGTTTTGTTGATCTGTTCCACAGTTCTTCTGGTCTCTATCTCATTGAGTTCTGCTCGAATCTTTATTAATTGTCTTCTTCTGCTGGGTGAAGGTTTCAGTTGCTGTTCCTTCTCCAGCTCCTTTAGGTGCAAGGTTAGCTTTTGTATTTGAGTTCTTTCCGGTTTTGGGGCGGATGCTGCTGGTCTTGCGATGTATTTCCCCCTCAGGACTGCTTTTGCTGTATCCCAAAGATTTTGAACGGTTGTATCTTCATTCTCATTAGTTTCCAGGAATCTTTTTAATTCTTCTCTAATTTCCTGGTTGACCCTTTCATCGTTTAGCAGGATGGTCGTTAACCTCCATGTTTTTGAAATCCTTCCATACTTCTTGTGGTTTAGTTCTAATTTCAAAGCATTATGGTCTGAAAATATGCAGGGGATAATCCCAATCTTTTGGTATCGGTTAAGACCTGATTTGTGACCCAGTATGTGGCCTATTCTGGAGAAAGTTCCATGTGCACTTGAGAAGAATGTGTATTCAGTTGCGTCTGGATGTAAAGTTCTGTAAATATCTGTGAAATCCATCTGGTCCAGTGTATCATTTAAAGCGCTTGTTTCTTTGGAGATGTTGTTCTTAGAAGATCTGTCGAATGCAGAAAGCACTATAGTCAAGTCTCCACACATAAGTGTATTAATATCTAAGTATGTCTGATCTTTCGTTATTAATTGAGTGATATACTTGGCAGCTCCCGCATTCAGGGCATAAATATCATGATTGTTAGGTCCTCTTTTTGGAGAGATCCTTTTAGTATGATATAGTGTCCCTCTTCATCTCTCACTACAGTTTTGGGATAAACTTTAATTTAGCTGATATAAGGATAGCTACTCCTGCTTTCTTTTGAGGACCATTTGAATGTTAAATGGTTCTTCAACCTTTTATTTTCAGGCTGTAGGTGTCCTTAGGTCTAAAATGAGTCTCTTGTAGACAGCAAATCGATGGGTCTTGCTCTTTTATCCAGTCTGAAACCCTGCGCCTTTTGATGGGGTTATTAAGTCCATTCACATTCAGAATTACTATTGAAAGATACGAGTTTAGTGTCATCATGATACCTGTTCAGTCTCTGCTTTTAAGGATCGTTTCCTTGGACTTCCTCTTTCTTTTACAGAGTCCTCCTTAATATTTCTTGCAGAGCTGGTTTCGTGGTCACATATTCTTCAAGTTCCTGCCTATATTGGAAGCTCTTTATCTCTCCTTCTATTGTGAATGGGAGCCTTGATGGGGATAGAGTATTCTCGGCTGCATGTTCTTCTCATTTAGGACCATGACTGTATCCTGCCAGCCCTTTCTTGCCTGCCAGGTCTCTGTGGAGAGGTCTGCTGTTATCCTAATACTTCTCCCCATACAGGTTAGGGATCTCTTGTGTCTTGCTGCCTTAAGGATCTTCTCTTTATCTTTGGAATTTGCAAGCTTCACTATTAAATGTCAAGGTGTTGAGCAGGTTTTTGATTTTAGGTGCTGATCTCTCTCCTGGATCTGAATGCCTGTTTCCCTCCCCAAGTTAGGGAACTTCTCAGCAAGTTTTTGTTCAAACACACTTTCTGGACCTCTCTCCCTTTTGGCATCCTCTGGAACCCCAATAACATGTAGATTTTTCCTTCTGTGGCTGTCATTTATTTTCCTTAATCTGTCCTCATGATCTTTTAATTGTTTTTCTCTTTTTTTCCTCTGTTTCCTTCCTTGGCATCAACTTGTCTTTTTTTTAATTTTTATTTATTTATGATAGTCACACACACACATTGAGAGAGAGAGAGAGAGAGAGGCAGAGACACAGGCAGAGGGAGAAGCAGGCTCCACATACCGGGAGCCTGACGTGGGATTCAGTCCCGGGTCTCCAGGATTGCGCCCTGGGCCAAAGGCAGGCGCCAAACCTCTGCACCACCCAGGGATCCCATCAACTTGTCTTCTATGTCACTCACTCATTCTTCTATATCGTTATCCGTCGTTAGGACCTCCAGTTTGGATTGCATCTCATTTAATTGTTTTTTAATTTCGGCCTGATGAGATCGAAATTCTGCAGTCATGAAGTCTCTTGAATCCTTTATGCTTTTTTTCTTGAGCCACCAGTAGCTTTATAATTGTGCTTCTTTATTGGCTTTCTGACATTGAAGTGTAATCCAAATTTTGTAACACTGTGGGGGAGAGGACTGTTTCTGATTCTTTCTTTTTAGGTGAGTTTTTCCTTCTAGTCATTTTGCTCAGTGCAGAGTGGCCATAAACAAGTTGTAGTTGATAGAAAGGCAGAGGTTTCTCACTGTGTTACTTCAGTTCTCTCTTTAAATCTCAGACCAAATTGCCAGGTTTTCAGGATTATTTGAAAGTTATCTCTTCTGTGGTGATAACACCGGTTTCCTTAAATTTTGATTCCTTGAGGACCTGAGTCAGGTACTCAGCCACTTCCAGCACCTTTCCCTTCACCGTGTTTATCACGTTCTGCTTCCTGGGCCCGGGGAGGCAGCCGACCCTGCAACGGGGCGGGATGCGCACCTGGTGAAGGGGAGTCCCCAGCGATCCCCGCCCCCTCCACCGCCGCTGCGGGTGGCAGACCGGGCCAGGTGTCGCCGGCCGCGAGGGAGGGCGGGTGGGGGGAGAGGCGGACTCACGCACACCCCTCGCCTTCTCAGGAGCTGTCGGCTCCCCTCGGCTTCACTCGCTGTTTTGTATTTTTTAGATTAAAAATTTTTTTTTTTAGATTAAATTTTTTTTAAGTAATCTCTATACCCAATGCTGGGCTTAAACTCAGATGCTGAGATTACAAGTCACACGCTCTTGTGAGTGAGCCAGCCCTGAGCCGCCAAAAATTGTTAAATTTAACCTGTGAATTCTTTCGTATCTGAAACTCAGAAATACAGGTGATTTGATTGTTTACAGCCTTTTCTTCTCTCCCATGAATATGGAATATTGTGCCCTGCTTGATAATCATTCATGACTTTGGAGACTTTAAACCTTTAATTTGGATGATCATGATTATTAATATTTTAATATTAGATTCTTTCTCCAGCCTTTAAGTACCATCCTATATGTGTAGATAGGAAATTAAAGCTATTAGTATGCTAGTCACAGTGGAATAAGAAACCATGTGAATTTTAAAGTGGGGTTTTCTATTTTTCTCATAAAGTGCCTTAAAATTCTGTAATCCCTAAAATATTTCTCTTCTACAACTTAAATCTTAACTTTTAAGTTTCATTTTTAATAGGAATATTGTGGCAGCCTGGGTGACTCAGTGGTTTAGTGCTGCCTTCAGTCCAGGACCTGATCCTGGAGACCTGGGATTCAGTATTTATCTTAAAAGTGCTATTCGTTGCAGAAATGAATACATGCCCACGTATATATGCATTTTTCTAAAGATTTATGTATCTCAGAAGTGGGGGGAGGGGCAGAGAGAAGGAGAGAAGCAGAATCCCTGCTGAGCGTGGAGTCTGATGTAAATCTCAATGTCACAACCCTGACATCATGACCTGAGCCGAAATCAAGAGTTGGATGCTTAGCCAATTGAGCCATCCAGGTGCTTATTACTTGTATATGTTAATAAAAGTATATTTTCTGTTCTAGAAAGTAATGTTGAAGTATGTAAGTGAATCCCATGGTTTTTCCCCCCTTCTTTTATTTTTATTTTGAAAATTTCAGAGTTTTGTGTAGGTTGACATTAATTATATCAGGTTAGTATGTTTTATAGATGACTTTTTAACATCATGTGGTTTTCCTGAGTATTGTCATTTTTTTCTACTCCAAATGTATTTATCTAAAACTTTCTTATTAATAAGTCCCCTGGGTGCTTCAGATTTGATGAAGTCCCAGACTGAAGACATTATTTCTGACTCTTTCCTCTTCCTGACTTTTAAATCTGCTTTGTCATTTGTTTTCTCCACCCTAATGTAAAGCACTGTTGGAACACTGAAGCAGAAAAAAGAATCCTGGACTCTAAACTTCCCTAAAATTAGGTGACATCACATCCAGGTGACTGGGGTGGCTCCCTTGCTTAAGCATCTGACTCTTAATGTTGGCTCAGGTCATGATCTCATGGTCCCGGTATTGAACCCTGTGTCTGGCTCTGTGCAGAGTGGAGAGGCTGCTTGAGGATTCTCTTCCTCTTCCTCTGTCCCTCCCTCTGCATGGGCACACACTCTCTCATTCTCTCCAAAAGTAAATAAATAAGTCTTAAAATAAAAACCACATCCAGTCACTCCACCACATGCAGTATCTTTACCTGCTTAACAATTTTTCACATCTTATTACCATAATTCACTTTCTCATCTATAATTTTGAAATACTCTTCTCTTTTGGTTCCTTTATGTTCATCTTTACATTGGTACTAGAGTGACGTTTCTAAAATATATATGTGATGATGTAACTCCTTTGCTTATTTAGTGGATTCCCCAATACCTGACGGAGAAAGTTCATATCTTAGCATGACTCCTGTCTTTTTCCAATTATATCTCTTTATCCCATTCCCAATAATTGTGTCCTAGTTTTGCCACATTCTGAGCTATTGTCACTTACTATGTTATTTCCTACTTCATCCTTTTGATCGTTCTACCTTTGCTAGAATGCCCTTCACACACTCCTTGTATACTTTGTCTTTCAAGATACAAGCCTTATCTTTATAGCATTTCCTGAGCTTCCCATATACAACTTTTTTCTCCTTGTGCCTTCACTGAACTTTATTCACTTCACTTCTAGAACTAGAGAATGATCCTCTTCTGTTCTTATTTGTTTTTGTCCATCTGTCCCCCTAGTAGCATATAAGGCAGACTCCCTCTTTTATTTATATTTCCAGCTTCTCCCAGGATAGTGCCTATGACTTGACAGATATGGTATGTATTTGTCTTTTTGAGGAGTGAGAGAGTAGGTGAATTAATATGATGTTTTCTGAAGCTGTTTTTGTGTGTGTGTGTGTGTGTGTGTGTGTGTGTGTGTGTGTGTGTGTGTGTGGTGCTGGTGTTCTTATAGGAAGGAGCAACAAAGCCGGCAATTGGAAAAAAGGACAATGGTATTGATATTATTGAAAGTCCTCCACAAGAGCAAGCAGTTAATGACAATTTGACTTCTGCTGATAGAGCACACAAAAATCATATGAGTGGTAAGTTAGTGAACCTCTGTGAGTTATTTTCTATGCTTACATGCTAGTATAAAACAATATGAAAGTATGTAGATCCAAATATGTTATCCATTTCATTTCACGAAGTTATTTTTCTTTTGCTATCTTTGTAAGTATCGCAAACTACTGTGAACTTTTTCTTCCTGAAAATGTTTCATCCCTCTGAAAATCTTATCTCCTATTACTTTTATTTTATTGAAATATTTGTGAATGTGGATGGGCTTGTATATGTGTTTAGAATTCATAGTAATACATGTTCTCATTAATGTATTTGTGACTATATTTTACAGATAGGATATCAGCTTTAGGACGAGGAGAAGATAGTTCACCTTGGGATTCTGAGGTACCGTCTTCTTATTATTTTAAAATATCATGTCTGGGCAGCCCCGGTGGTAAGGCAGTTTAGCGCTGCCTGGAGCCCGGGGTGTGATCCTGGAGACCCGGGATCGAGTCCACATCAGGCTCCCTGCATGGAGCCTGCTTCTCCCTCTCCCTCTGCCTATGTCTCTGCCTCTCTCTGTGTGTGTGTCTCTCATGGATAAATAAATAAATAATTCTTTAAAAAAATAAAATAAAATATCATGTCTGCATTTGCCCATAAAAACAAATTCCTTATACTTCTTACCTGTGATTGATAATTTTGTGATAAATATAGTAATAGAGTTCTGCTAATTTGCAAGCTTAACTTAGTGAAAGGTGTGTGGTAATATGGCAGAAAACTGAGCTTAGAAGCGTTAAGGAATCAGGACGCCTGGGTGGCTCAGTGGTTGAGCATCTGCTTTCTGCTCCGGGCACAGTCCCAGGGTCCAGGGATTGAGTCCCACATTGGGGTCCCTGTGGGGAGCCTGCTTCTCCCTCTGCCTGTGTCTCTGCCTCTGTGTGTGTGTGTGTGTTTCTCATGACTAAATAAAATCTTTTAAAAAATTGTGTTAAGGAATCTTTTTTTTTTCTATATTTCATCCATTTACTCATGAGAGACACACAGAGAGGCAGAGACACAGGCAGAGGGAGAAGCAGGATTCCTACAGGGAGCCCCACGCGGAACCCGATCCCAGGACTCTGGGATCACGCCCGGAGCTAAAGGCAGATGCTCAATCACTGAGTCACCCAGATAACCCAAGTCTGGGTTTTAAAGTTATCTAAAAAGCTAAAGAAAAACTCTAGGTCAACCTATGGTGGAATGTATGATTCTGTGGTGTGTATGGATGTGCAAAACTTCTAATGTGATCTAGACAGTTTGGATTTTAGTTTTTTAGAAGTATAAATCATATATATTATGTTTATACATTAAATTTATTAGCATACATGTGTATCTTATAGATTATAATTTCCATATTCTATTTTATATATAAAACACATTTATATATAGTTTGTGTATTATGCATAATGTATAGTATCATAATTTATATATTAACTATATATGTAAAGATTTATTAAAAGCTTTTATGTATTTATTTATTTATTTATTGAGAGAGTGAGTGGGAGGGAGAAGGAGACAGTATCTGAAGCCGACTCCAGTCTGAGTGCAGAGCCCATCACAGGGCTTGATTCCATGACCATGAGATCATGACCTGAGCTGATACCAAGTATTGGATGCTCAACCAATGGAGACATCCAGGCACCCTAAAAGTATTATATTTGGATTGTCAGGTAGAGCAGTGGGAGTATAATAACAATGTGGTTTAGTGGTACGTTCATTTATTTTTGTAAAGAATTTACTTACTTACTTACTTACTTACTTACTTACTTACTTATTTATTTATTTATTTGAAAGTGCATGTGCATGAGCGGGGGAAGGGGCAAAGGGAGAGGAAGAAGCAGGCTCCCCACTGAGCAGGGAGGCTGATGACTTGGGGCTTGATCCCAGAACTGACTCAGCCATCAAGGCCCCCATGATTTAGTGGTACTTTAAAAGGTAGAAACATTTTGGATAGTTAAAATAGCATGCATTGAGTATGTTTGTGGCTGCCCTACTTATAGTAACATAGTATAAAGTAATGATGACCTATTCTAAGGTGACACCTATGGAAGATGGTAAAAAGGGCCTATGTATTAGTAGAGGCAGCTGCTCTACAATGGTGTGAGCACTGTATTTGAAGTCAAAAGATGTGCTACCATCCTGGTTATTTCACTTACTTGCTGTGGGGTCTCAGAAAAACTTGTTTAACCTGTTTGAATGTCAGTGTCCTCATTCATAAAAATGATACTAATACCTACCTCTCGGGTATGTGTCATGACCAAATGTGGTAACAAAGGTGATCACCCACTTTGTGAGCTGTAAAGAATGCTCTAGAAATAGACAAAAATGATCACAGCAGTATTTTAGTGACTTACTAAATATAGAGGGCATGGTTTTTAAATGTGAAGATTTCTGAAGGACAGTAAAATGGCAAGTGTTAAGAATGGGAAAGTTAGAGCGGACAGGTGGATTTCTAATTTGGGGTATGTTAAGTTTCAGTAGCCTGTGATTAGAGACATTGTGTAGGTGTACAGTTGGCCCTTGAGCAAGATGGGCTTGAACTGTGTGTCCACTTACAGATGCTTCTCAATAAGTATTTTCTTAATATATTTTATCTTCCTTATGATTTTCTTAATAACCTTTTCTTTATATTTTAAGGATACAGTGTATAGTACATATAATATACAAAGCTTGTTCATTGCCTTTACGTTATTGATAAGGTCAACATCAGGTTATAATTTTCTTGACCTTCCATGCTCAGTTTACAGTAGTGGCCAGATGAGGGTTAAGAAGTAGCTTAGATGTAGAGAGCATATATATGAGTCTTTTATTGAAATGTTTTGGTTTTTCATATATACCTTTCCTATTTTTAAGTCTAATTGCTCTTAAAGTAGGAAATAAGAGATGAGTAGCTAAGTTTTGGGGGAATCAAAAGTCATTTGTGGATATTTGACTGTGTGGCCATCAACACCCTCAGCCCTTGCATTCTTCAAGGGCTGACAGTATAGTGATTTGGTACTTAGACCTTCTCAGTGAGATGAAGATGATGATTATGTTTTAGAGAGAGCGTGCACACACGTGTGAGCGGGCGGGGAGGAGCAGAGGTAGAAGGAGAGGGAGAGAGAGAATCCTAACTTTGCTTCATGCTCAACACAGAGCCCAATGTGGGGTTCGATCTCATGACCCTGAGACCCATGACCTGAGTTGAAATCAAGATTTAGATGCTCAACTGACTGAGCCACCCAGGCACCCCCTCACTGAGATGATTTTCAGTGTTTCGACCTTAAATACATTTATGTTACTGAATACTAACTATGACCAGGCTGTACAGGTTGTAGTGGTAGGAGCAGAAAAATAAGGAAACTCTGATCCATTATAAGTCACTGTAAGCATTTCATGTAAAAAAAAATGGAAATGTTAGTTTAGGGAATATTGGAGGCGCTTGTAGTTAGGATGGGGATGAGAATGGGAGTGGAATTTTGGTAGTGAGAAAAGATCTCTCTGAGTGTGGCCAGAGCTGCCAAGTGAAGAGTGGGAAGGACCAGTCGCAAGAATGTCTTGAAGAAGGACATTCTGGACAGAGAGACCATGGAGCACATCTGTTCCTTTTACTCTATAATGTCTTAGAAATGACCAGGAAGCAGGAAGACCCACTCCATTGTTATAATCATTGTTATTTTTGTGTGTAGAAAAGAAACTGTGCGTACTAAAACAAATGCCTGGTACCTTTTAGGTGATTAATCAGTAAATGTTCTTTGTGTGTGTGTGAGTAAAATGAAAGAAGTTTATTCAGTAAAGATACAGAGAAAGCTCTTAGGAGTGAGAGGGGTCCCAACAGGGTTGCCCTCAATGAATGTTCTTAGTCTTCCCTTCTGAAAGCTTACTATACTTTTTGAAGCATTTCATACGTATATCTAAAATCTTTTGCTATTATTTAAACATAATTTCAAGAAAAGTTTTTCTTCCTACTTTGCCATTTCATTCAACCATTTTTTCCTACCAATGAAAATTCCAAGCCTTTGTTTATCTAAATGAAGCAGCAGCTACCACAGTGTTCTGTTTATACTCAACATGATGTACTCCGAGGTTTCTTATCATGCCAAGTATCTTATTTTAAGGCTAAAAAACTTTCTGCCATTAGGAACAGTTTAAATTTATAGCAAATGTGCTTATTAAAGAATTTGTTTCAATAGTTTTACTGTCCTTTTGTCCTGGTGGAAAATACAAAGTAGAGTTAGGTGTTTTGTTATTTCCTTGTTGAAATGGATGTATAAGTCAGTCTTCTTGTCTGTGAAAATATTTACTCTGGCCTTCCATGTTCAGTTGGCGTTAATGGCCAAATGAAGATGAAAAGGTGCACTTAATTGAGAGAGCATAGATGACGTTTTTAAATGTGTTGGTTTTCAATACATGCTTTTCTTATTTGTATGTCTGATTGCGATTAAAATAGAACATTTGAATATTTTCTTAGTAAAGGATTTGGAAATCTTTATGCAACTCATTATTGATGTTAATTTTAACAGAGTATTTCTGCAAGACTTCCAAAGAATTCTGTTGATTGTTTACCTGGAGCTGCAGATCAACAAGGGCAAAGTATATTCAATGAACAAGTAGAAGGTAAGAATTGTATTTTATAAAAAGTCATTTGACAGAATGTTGATTTAAAACAGAAATTCTCATGTATCCTAATTTCCAAAGAAAATCACCTATTACATGCACAGAAAGGAGAAAGATGAGAAAAGGAGGTGAGTTCTATATTTTATCAGGTGTCAGCTGCAGATTAAATTGAGAGTACGGCTAAAGGAGCTAAATTACTGGTTCCATTTCCAGGTATTCCAAGACCTAAGGAATGCCTGGAAATAGTTGGAAAAAAACAAAGAGGGAATGATGAGAATGGCTGAGAGTACAGGGAGTAAATGGAGGAAAATAAGCAACGCTTTATAGTGGAAGGTGGTCAAATGAAAGAATTTTTTTAGGAGGAAGAGCAGGGGATCCCTGGGTAGTTCAGTGGTTTGGTGCCTGCCTTCAGCCCAGGGCATGATCCTGGAGTCCCGGGATCAAGTCCCACATCAGGTTCCCTGCATGGAGCCTGCTTCTCCCTCTGCCTGTTTCTCTGCCTCCCTCTGTCTCTCTCTCTCTCTGTGTGTGTGTCTCTCTGTGTCTCTCATGAATAAATAAATAAAATCTTTAAAAAAATAAAAGAAGGAGCAAATTATTTGAAATGTGGGGATAATATCAGGTGAGCTTCCAGTACCAAAACTTGTCAGAGTAGTATACCAAAATTTTCCCACTCTTAACAGTTTTTCTCACTGTTGGGAAGACATTATGGATTGACCTCGCTGATTATGCAGAGCTATGTCCTAGTCAGCTATAAATGTATATATGTTAGGGGTGCCTGGGTGGCTCAGTCAATTGAAGGTCTGCTTTTGGCTTGGGCCATGATCCCCAGGACCTGGGATGGAGCTGTGCTGAGCTGGGAGCCTGCTTTTCCCTCTCCCTTTGCTGCTCTGCCTGCTTGTGCACGCTCTCTCTGTGTCAAATAAATGAAAACATCTTTTAATAAATAATTATGTGTACCTCTATGTCATATAAAATGGTGGTACTTCGTAAGTTAGTATTTCATGCAAAAAAAAAAAAAAAAGAAGAATTGGAAGGAAAAAGAGAGCAGGGTCAATTAGTTGGAAATCAAGGAAGCTTTAGCCCTGATAAAAAGTCTGTTAGAACATTTATGACTTTTAATACGTCTTCACTTTCAGAATTGATAGTGATGAACTTGAGGCTTGATCCTAGAAGGTTAAGGTAAAGGAATACAGTGGCAGCGTTCAGTATAACCCAGGATTTCTCAAATTGTAGGGAATCACCCGAGACCTTGTTAAAAATGCAAACTGAACATCAGGTCTGGAATCTGCATTTTGGCCTCTCAGGTGATGCCAGTGTCTGTGGTCCTTGGGTCATGTGCTCAGTAGCATGGGTATAAACTTTCCTGTAGAGAAATCTGGAAGAGCTGTTGGATAGTTCAAGACATAACAAGGTCAAGAAAAAGAATTATTTTGTTTTTATTTTTGAACATGTTTGTAACCAGAGGGGAGCAAGGAGATACAGAAATAGAAGGTACAGATGTAAGATACTAGTGCTAAACAAAGAGGAAAGAAGTGGTGGAGAAAATCCATAAAAAGGTTGTAAAAGCAAAAAAAAAATCAAGACCATAGATCACGAATTACTTTTTAAAAAGATTTATTTATTTATGTTAGAGAGTTAGCGAGCAGGGAGGGGGCAAAGGGAAGAGGGAGAGAGAGTCCTTAAGCAGACTCCCTGCTGAGTGAGGAGCCCACCATGGGACTTAATCCCAGGACCCCGACATCATGACCTGAGCTGAAATCAAGAGCTAGACTCCCAACTGACTGGGGCCACCCAGGTGCCCCCAGAAATTTCTTTTGAAGACAGGGGATAGTGAAGGGAAAGAGGGAAAAATGAAAGAAGTCTTAGCTAGGAAATTTTGGAGTTGGTGAGGAAACTCTAGAGAATTCACTTTTTTTTTTTTTTTTTATGACAGACATAGAGAGAGAAACAGACACACAGGCAGAGGGAGAAGCAGGCTCCATGCAGGGATCCCGACGTGGGACCGGATCCTGGGTCTCCAGCATCACACCCTGGGCTGATGGTGGCACCAACCCTTGGTCCACCGGGGCTGCCCGAGAACTCACTTTTTAGATACCTTGAGTTTATTTGTACTGAAACAGATTAGATCACAGCTGCTCCACAAAGAATACTGAGAGCAAATGGAGTGCTAGACTTGGGATAAAACATAGCCACCATTCATCTTCCTCAAATCTATTGTACCTCAAAGATAAATGTTGCTTTGATATTCATTATTCAAATGAGACTAATTTGAATATGGAAGCATGGGTGTTCCTTTTTTTCAGATAGCTCATTTTGGGGGATGATAGCTGTTTCAAAGAAACCTTTTCAAGACTGACATAGTCTACCAAATCAAACTAATTTTGGAAAATAAAGAAATCATAGGGTCCATTCCTTAAATGCTAACTAAAATTGTTACTATCAATAAATATGACACTGATTTTGAAATACAAAAGATTTTTAGTATCTAAAAATTCGGTGGCAATTAAATTGATTTTTTTCATTTTGGTAGTCATGGTTCCGTATTGAAAGCTTATTATACATTATTTCTTAGATGTATTTTATATACCTTCTTGCGTGCGTGGGTCAAGAAACTTTAACATGGCTAAACTAGAGGATACAAGAAATGTAGGCATACCAGTGGCCCACATGGGTATAGACAAAAATGAATACTTTTATTGACTATTATCCTACAAGTATATCCAGGCTGATCAATTCATAACACTGTTTTTGGTGACAAATAAATTACGCATTCAATAAATTATGCATTCATCATAACTGCGTACTGCCTAAATTACAGAACAAATTGAAGAACATGGCAAATACTTGTAGTAGAATGGTATTGATGATTCTGCTGTACTGCAATCAGGATGTGCTGTTGCATTCTACCATCAGCTTTCACGTTATCCTCTCAGAGTCATCATTTGTTCCTCTGATTAAAGATTGCTTTTCTCCCCCATCAATCAGCATGTTCACATTGGTATATGTGCAACATTTAGTGATTTCTGTTTTAGTTATTTCATTTGAAACATCATCTTACTTTTGGAATCCTAACTGCATGTTATGTTGAACATATATTTCTATTTTTTTTTATAGTATTTATAATGGGTTCCTATTTCTGTCTTGTTGGTGTCTCAATCCACCTTCCCGTCTCTAGAATCAAGACCAAAGCCTAATGTAATCACTTTCAAAGCCAAGCATGAGGATTTTTTTTTTTTTTTTTAGGGTGAGTCAAGTAAGGAGGGGAGGGAGGAGTTAGGTGAAGGGCCCAGCAACAGGGAGAACACAGTGAGGTAAGAGTGAGGGACTGGTGTGGGCTGAGGCTGGGGAGGGGCCCAAGCATGAGGATTCAGCTTAATCCTAACTGCATGAATGTATAGTTGGCTTTCATATTTACGTATAATTAACTACATGTCCCTTTTGTGTTTTAGATTCTCCTGGAAAAGATCTTCTTCACTGGGAGGTAAAGCTCTTGTATTTTTATTTTGAATTTTTAACTACAGATTGTATGAAATGTACATTGTTTTAATCATACTGTTTCAATACCCATCCAGTCTACCACTAAAGTGAAAGATTCTGTTCCTAATGAAGCAGTAGCAACGAGTGATAAACAAACACCCAGATCAGGTAAATTTTATAGTACAAATTTACCTGTGGAAAGATGTGCACTAAACTATTGAAATGCCCATCGTCTTCTTATACCAAATTCTTCTTTGTGTGTGGATGTGAGACAAATTTAATCGAAGGATGTGACATAAATAAGGTAGATGTCATTGCTGATATCCACGTTTGAACAAAAGATATTTACAAGCATAAGAAAAAGAGATTTTAAAAATGTAAGCTTTAGTTCAAGTTTCTACTTTTAAGTTTTGAAATCCTAATGTCCCCGGTTTGGAATTCTTTTACTTCTAAGGGGTTCCCAGAAGTTAATTATTAGACTCTAAGATTTTTCTGGTGTTCACCATACTTATTTGAATTCTGACTTTTACCCAGAGTAAAGCTTCAGTTGCTAACATGTCAGTTGTGTTAAATGAAGTTAAAACTTCATTTCATCTTTGTGTTGTTATACTGATCATTTTAAGCCAAACACTTGTTCTGATTGTGTGTGTGTATGGTGACTTTGATTATTAGAAATGTGGGACGGAATTAGTTGTATCTTAATATTTTAAAAAAGTAATTCTGAACCTTTTCAGCCTAGGGTCCTTTTCTACTATTTAAAAATTATTGAGAATTCCAAAGAACGTCTGCTTAAGTGGGTTATATCTGTTGATATTTACAATCTTAGAAATTAAAACATTTAAAACACAATCTCATGTTGTTAGCCATTAGAGTTGTGATCCACTGAACATGCGAGTTGCGATGCTATCACACATTTTATCTTTAGAAAACTTTATTGTACACTTGATAAGATGGAGATGTTTGTGTGCCTTTAACCTGGTGACGTTTAGTATTTCTCAAATGGTTTGTTGAAATTGTAGATTATTAGAAGTATTTCTTAAATATTCAGCTAAAGATGAATTTAAACTCTTCAGTGATAAATGATATTTTCTATTTTTATAGAGGTAATAGCTTTTATCTAACCATTCTAAGTAGTCCATTTTACCTAAATATATAGATTTTTCATCAGAACCAGACTTAGAAGTGGCATCAGAGCAAAAGCAAGAGCAAGAAAGGCCTGATAAAAGTGAAAATAACCACCCCCAGGTATGTAAAACTTTAAATTTAAATTTCTGATTTTATATTGTTTTCCCTGCTTTTCTAATATTACATGGTTCAAGTGAAACTCTTTGAGTGGATATATTGAAGTCAATAGAGTATAATTTAAAATTTAGTTTTTATAAAATTTTACGAGTTACAAAGCTTAAAATGTTGTAATTTTTAGTAACTAAGTTTAGCTAAACTTCATCCTTGGAATTTAGGCAAAAACCATTCTTTTGAGACAAAAATAATTCTAAATATTCTTTGCTTCTTCCATTTTTGTAACTTCTTTACATGATAAAGAAGGTAGCATCAAATATTGAGTCATGTTTAAGCAGTTGAAATTATGAGCAGTATAACAATGATGACTACTGACTTAGACTCATGTACAAGGAGTGATTATTCTCAGTGGTTCAAAGTGTCTAGTTCTCTATTTCCAGCTACAAATGCCAAGATTAAAGATTTATTCTGCTTTGTGATCTCTGTGTAGTTGACTTGAGAGAATGGGGTCATGAAATCAGCACGATCGCCTATTGTAGAATCACACCTTCCAGGATGGGACCTTTGTAGTTGGATTATAAACAATAACTCTTTCAGTTATTTCAGCACAGGAAATCCATATTATTAATATTTTTCTTATCCACTCTCAGTGGACATTACAATATATTAGAGCTGGATACAAGCAGATAATCTATAGCAATGTCTAACACTATCATAGTATATAATTTAAATTAAAATATAGGAATTTATTTTTCTTGGATTGATGTTAATTGATATTTGCCCCCCAAAATGTAGTTTGCCTATTATCTAGGTTTCAAACTTATAAAAACTCCTGAAATGCATTGTCGGGGCTCACTGTTTAAGATACAAGGGAATAAAGTGTTTTTAAGTTTGTAACATTAATAATCATCTGATTCATTTTTTGGTAGATGTAACTGTATTGAATTGTTTAGTTAAGAAAAACCTGACAAAATATAAGTGAATGGATTTATGCTTTTCTTCTGTCCTCACTTCTTAGTTATAATCCAGTGACTTAGGAACAGCTAATAACTAAATTTTAATTATTTTCTATTTTTCTTTGTCCGTATTTGATTACCTAAGGATAAAGTTATTTTACAAACATGTATCCTGGCTGAAAAGACATCTGAAAGCCAAACCAAGCAAATTAACATTCCACTTGTGCAACTGCAAAATATGGCTCGAGAACCAGAAATGAATATGGAATGTGATAGACAGGGTGATAGATCTGTACATTCAGAACATCCTCGTGTGCACGAGAAGTATGAGGAGATACAGATGAAACAAGGCAAATTAGATTGGAAAAATAATGTGAAACGCATGAGCAGAGAGTTAAAGCAGAAGATTGGTAAAACTTGTAAAAAGTACCGAATTACTACTCATCCTAAGTTAGAACCACTACGTGGTAATTCTAAAGAAGCAGACTTAAAGGAAATACCTCCTAATGTGACAAAAGTTACACTTGATTGTGAGGAAAAAGATGAATTTGGAGTGTCTGTCTCTTTAGTACCTCAGGCCTTTCCCGAACAAAAAGAGCCTTGTCTCGAAAATGCTATTCTCTTTCATTCATACTCTGGGTCCCCGGACTATGCTTGCCAGTCATCTTCTAAGCTTTCTTTCCATGAAAATGATAACAAACCAGGTGAGCATGTTTTTAACAAAAATGAGAGTCTTGATAGCGATCCAGAAAATAAAAAAGTAAGGAACCCACTAGTTACATTTGAAGTGAAAGAAGACCAAGAGTTTGACATGCAGATGGCCGAAAGTTTGAACCAAAATACCACCAATAGTAAATTAGACACTGGATATATCCCTCCGTATAGTGACCCAGAAAGCCTTTTTGATTTGCGGCTTGCCCACTCCAATGTGGCGAAACAAATGATTCAGAAGAAAAGGCGTGATACTTCCGCTATTGCAAACACTTACAAGAAAACAAAACCAATACGAGACTCTTTCCAGAAGCCATTATATGCAGATAATGACAGTACTAATAACTATAAAAGTACGGAACCTGCATTAGAAAATGTGAGTTCTTCACCACGTCCTTTCAGAACATCAAAAGTATATCAAAAAGAAGAATTACAGCAAGATATGCAAAATCTGCAAAGGTTTAAGAATGAGAAAGACATGTTACAAGTAAAACTCCTGGCTTTGGAAAAAGAGAAAGTTGAACTTCAAAAAGAGGTAGAGAGATTCACTTTGCTGCTGCTCTTTTGATTTTTTTGTCTTTGTCAATTATCTCAGCCATTTTGATTTTTCCCCTTAAGAAAAAAGCTCATGTATAAAATGGGGTCATCTCAATATATAATTGTGTTCGGAAGTAGATTATTTCTGCTATCTAAATGATAGGAATGCAGGAAAACATAAGATTTGTGTTCCTTGAGTTTCTTTCAGTTTCCCAAGTGGTGTGTGAACTGGGAAGCTCTTTTCGCTATGCACCCTGTGACCCCGTGAACCAGAATAACCGTAGAGAAAATTGCTTTAAAAATGCGATTATCTTGGGGTGCCTGGGGGGCACGGTCAGTTGAGAGTCCTAGTCTTGTTTTTGGCTTGGGTTGTGATGTCAGGGTTGTGAAGAGGAGCCCTCTGTGCTCAGCATGGAGTCTGCTTGAGTTTCTCTCTCCCGCTGTGCCTCTCTCATGCTATCAGTCTTGTTCTCTAAAATACATAGATCTTTAAAAAAATACATCATAATATCTAGGATTTTTATCTATTGGCTTAAATATAAGTTGCACTTCCATAAACAATAAAATGGAAAAGAAGTTGGGATGCCTGGGTGGGTGGCTCACCTGTTGAGTGTCTGCCTTTGGCTCAGGGTATGATCCCGGGATCTGGGATTGAGTCCCACATCAGGTTCCCTGCATGGAGCCTGCTTCCCCCTCTGCCTGTGTCTCTGCTTCTCTGTGTGTGTGTCCCTGATGAATAAATAAATAAAGTCTTTAAAATAAATGAATACATAAAATGGAAAAGAAGCAATAACTAAGGGAAGGGATCTAAACAAATATTTCATCTAAACCAATCTATTTATTGCTTCTGTTTATTGCTTCAGTATGTGTAGTCTTCTCTGCTTTCCTCAAACTCTTGGAACTTCAAATTCCAACATGACCACTTTTTGAGATATTTTTAAGAACAAATATTTGCATTATCACCAGTTTTTTTCTCCCATGTTTTTAAAAACAGACTTCCTTTTTTCTTTTAGGATTTATTTATTTATTTACTTATTTATTTGAGTGTGTGAGCAGGGTGAAGGGTAGAGGGAGAGAGAAAGGGAGAGAAGCAAACTCCCCAGTGAGCGTGGAGCCTGAAGCAGGGCTCAGTCCCATGACCATGAGATTATGACCTGAACTGCAATCAAGAGCTGGAGGCCCAACTAACTGTGCCACTCAGGCATCTCCTCCACATTAAAAAAAAAAAAAAAAAAAAAAAATTTTTTTTTTTTTTTTTTTTTTTAGATTTTATTTCACACCGAGAGAGAACACAAACAGGGGAGCAGCTGTAGGAGGGAAAGGGAGAAGCACGCTCCCAGCGGAGCAGGAAGCCTGATGCACGGGTCTTGATCCCAGATCCCAGGGATCATGACCTGAGCCAAAGGCAGATGTTTAACCGAGCCACCCAGGTGCCCACGTGTGTGTGCGTGTGTGTGTGTGTGTGTGTGTGTATACACATATATGTGTTTGTTTAATCACCATTCTCAGGTGTTTTTGTTGAGTCAAATCTTTACATCTTGTTTAATAAAGTATGATATATTTTGACACATACGACTTTTATCATGTAGGTAGCATAGATTTTCAGCAAACCTTCAGTATTTGACTCTAAGGGAGAAAACTGATGTTTGAGGTGAAAAATAAACAAAATCTAGAGATATCCTCCTTTAAAATAAAAATTAGCTAAGCGCTTCATCCCCAATTAAGGTATTAAATTACTGTGCCAAAGTCACACTTTTAGCATAGCTGATTAATAAACTTGTTGGGTCATTTATTTGATTCAGCATTAAGGAATTGTATCATCTCTTTGATGCTAGGTGCTAGGTAATACCACTTTAGGAACTTTGGATAAATCATGTAACCTTTTTTGGTTTTATTCCCATTATCAATAGAAAATGGGATTAAAGTTGATAATTACTTTTATACCCTCTACCTATAAAATTTTATGGCTATGGAATGTGAAATTTGGGGAGCATTACTCGTTTCCCAAAATTCTACACTAATATCAGTTTTGCTCTGCTCCTTTTATGTTGTGGTAAACTTTGGTTCACATATTTTAATGAACACTGTGACTTTTTTGATAGCCCTGGGATCCAAATGAAAAAAGAATTATAAAAGGCAGTTGGGGAAAGAATAGCTCAGTGCAGAAATGGAAAGCTTCCTCTTTGTTCCTGGAGCATCACAATGTCACATCCTTTACATCTGTCTGTGTAAGCAAAATCCAGATGGTAAAGACGGAAGAGGACAGATTTTTGTGTCTTTTTATTTCTTTGTATCTGCTGGTCAGATGGGGTGAAGTTGGGAATGTTAGGTGGCAAAGTGTGGATATGAACACAAAATTAAGAAAGTCCTTTATGGAATTCTGGAAAATTATGTTGTTCTATTCCAACAGAAATGAAGCAGAATTTCCAAAAATTGCAATTACATGTAATGATAAAGTTAAGCACAAGATAGTTTTATTGATTAAAATTATGATTAAGAGTCAAATGATACAATTAATGAAAAAAGTTCTTTTTAGTGAATAAAGTTGTAACAGTATCAAATTTCCATTCAAGACTGGAAAAGAAAGGAAGCAGCACAAGAGTAGTAAAATGGAAGGAGCAGAAAACATACATGCTGCTGCTGCTGCTGTTCCTGCTGCTGGACTAATTCAACAAAGAAAGAGTGGAAAAACTGATTACCACCTGTTTCCTACTACGCAGAATGAAGATTCTGATAGGTAAGCCTATAGCAATTTTTAAACAATAGATAATTATTATTTTTCTATAAAACAAATTCTGTTTGGAGCTAATGTTCATGATTAACACATTTTATATTTTTAGTAGAGATATTCCACCCAGGGTGCTAAACAGAAAAAGGCAAAGACCGGTAAGGTATCAATTTTTTTTTGCAGGCATAGTGATAAATATTTAATTAAAAAAAATAACCTAGGTTAGCAAATGTGAGGAAAAAGTCATTCTCATATACTGTTGTTAGGTGAAAATTGTCAAATCCGTTGCACCTGAGTGGCTCAGTGGTTGAACGTCTGCCTTTGGCTCAGGTTGTGATCTCGGGGTCGTGGGATCAAGTCCTGCATCAGGCTTCCCATGAGGAGCCTGCTTCTCCGTCTGCCCATGTCTCTGCCTCACTCTGTGTCTCTCCTGAATAAATAAATAAAAATCTTTAAAAGAGAGAGAAAGAAAATTGACAAATCCTTTCTGAAGAGTGATGTAGCAGTGCATTTCAGATTTCACATATGCTGTCCCTATATCCCAACGGCTTCATTGCCAGGAGTAGATCCTATAGGAAAACGTGACTTGTGTGAACACTTAGACACACATATTATAAGAACATTTATTATATATTATATATATATAAAATATGACAGATATATTAAGAATACTTACATGAACATGTTACATATATATGTTAAGATTATCTATCAAAAACTTGGAGGGAGTCTAACTCTCCATCCATAAGGAAGTAAGTTTTCACACCTATAAAATAATGCAGCGTGTAACTATCTGAGAAAATGAATTTAGGTCTGCAGGGTTTTGATTGTTTAACAAAGTATATATATTTTTTTAAATTTTATTTTTATTTATTCATGAGAGACACACAGAGAGAGATAGAGAGAGAGAGAAGCAGAGACACAGGCAGAGGGAGAGGGAGAAGCAGGCTCCATGCAGGGAGCCTGATGTGGGACTCGATCCCGGGACTCCAGGATCACACCCTGGGCTGGAGGCAGGTGCTAAACCACTGAGCCATCCAGGGATCCCCCAAAGTATATTTAAAGTGTTTGGTTTGATGTCTTACAGAAACTTCAGAATACTTTTAATATCTGCTGAGTTGCAAAAGGAAGTTACCTGCTACACTGGCACTCTACCTTATTACCAACAAAACTGCTAATTATTAGGTTTTCGGTTTTGGTTCCCAATGAACGAGTGCTCAAATGTTGGACTCTCAAATTGATCTGAATATTATTACGAAGAGATTTCACATGGCAACTTGTCCCATATTCTGTATAAACATTTGATCCCTGTGCTATAAACGAAGAGGTTGTTAATGCAGTGAATCTTCTTTTTCAGGCACTTTGCATACAGGCTAATAATTTTCCTTTAAAAATGTTTTTAAGATTATTTATTTGAGAGAGAGAGTGTGTGAGTGCAGGGAGTGGCAGAGGCAGAGGGAGAAGCGGGAGCCTGAAGTGGGGCTGATCCCGGGACTCCAGGGTTATGACCTGAGCCGAAAGCAGACGCTTTACCAACTGAGCCAACCAGGTGCCCCTTATTCTTCCTTTTTAAAGAGCATATATTTCGGGGATCCCTGGGTGGCGCAGCGGTTTAGCGCCTGCCTTTGGCCCAGGGCGCGATCCTGGAGACCTGGGATCGGATCCCACGTCGGGCTCCCAGTGCATGGAGCCTGCTTCTCCCTCTGCCTGTGTCTCTGCCTCTCTCTCTCTCTCTCTGTGACTATCATAAATAAATAAAAAAAAATTTAAAAAAAGCATATATTTCAACATGCACCACATCAAATTTTTCAATAGTGACTTCATATTATATAATCTTCGAAAATTCACTTTCCATTAATTCTAAACACAGTGGATCTATTAAAACATAAGTCAGATTATGTCCTCCTCTGCTCAAAACCTAATGGCCTCCCATTCACTCAAGTTCTTTTTAATACCTTACAAGGCCATATGTGACTTGTTCATCTCGGGTCCCTCCCTATCCTTTCCTCCTTCTCTCTGATTTGAACTATTTTCTATCCCTTTCCTTCTGTTCAGCCACACTTGAATTTCTCACTATTCTTACCCCCCACCCTCATTATAAACACTTCAGGCATACCTCTGTACTTGCTATAAACTCTCTGTGCAGTGCTTTTCTCTCAGGTATCCTCATGGCTTACTCCTTGCTCCCTCTTTTTCTCCCTGGTTTTTGCTTCAAGGTCACTTTCTCAGCAAGGACCTTCTTGGTTTATCCTGACTAGTATTTCGACCACCCCTTTTGCTACAACACATCGAAATTTGATTTCTCTGCTTTAGTTTTTCTCCTCTCAAACTGTGTAGTTTGCCTAGGTAGTTTATTGTTACTATGTTTACTTTCCTCGTGAGTAGGGTTTTTTTCTGTTCATGGCATGTCCTCAGTGCTTAGAGAACATTCTAGCATATATAGTGCTATTCAGTAAATGTTTGTTGAGTGAATGGAGTTTAACTAAACCGTGTGTATTGTTTTTAACATAATACGAATTCTCACTTAAACAGAAAGAATGGTTGGCATGGGTCCATTCTGACAATTTAACCTGTCCGTTATCTGCATTTTGTGGATTATTTGGGCCTAATCTTGTGGTTACTTGCTACTTATTCTTTTACTGGTATTTATGTTAGTTTTAATTATAGTAGAATGGAACAAAGGAAGAGCAAACTTCATTTATGTTTCATTAAGGAAAATGAAATGTGGTAAATTATTATAGGACTTTAAACATTTTTGCCAGAGGATATGAGCCCTCAATATCTGAAATATAAAGGTGAAGTTGGAATTTACTGCTGACTAATAAGAGGGAGCTATGCTGGCCACTTACAGTCTTTTCTGACAGAGTAGTCTTCACTTTCTATATACAGTTTCAGGAAAAGTGGAGTTTAAGACTTGGGAGACTTTCAGAGAATTAAGTGGTTTGTCATCATCTGAAGCACCATGGTAATTTGGGTAAGACTGTTGTTGATTGGTTGGCACTCGAGGCATGCGTATTGGAGTGATTTTGTCCCACATTGGCTATACTTCAGGAGGGAGAAGCTGACATTGGTTGGCTGGTGAGTGAGGACAGATGGCATTGATCATTACAAACATTTAAAACTGGTTCTGATGGGTTCTCGTTACCATGGCTGCATGTTAGCATTCCCCCGCCAACATAACTTTGAGGTGTCTTTAACCAGTTGTTTTCTATTTGAAAGTTGCTTCTATTAACTGTTTTCAAAATGAAAGCTATTTCGTATCCATAATTACAGATTTACTTCTGAAATTTGGGTCGAGAAGAATTGTTTAATAATTGCTTTCAGGAAGATCCATCTTTTTTGGATGTTTAATTTAACTAGAAGAGTTATCTGTATGGCAGTTTTAAAACAGTAATTGCTGGTTTTGTTTTCAGTGCCCTAAAGTTACTCAATTGATAATCTCCTATGGGAAAATTCAGTCTTTTTGTAAATTTACATAGCTATATGCCCATAATATTTTCTTGCATGCATTTAGTCCATGAAAAAATATATATAATTTTCTGTTGGTACATCTAGCTTTTTGTATTAGGATTAGATACTAGGCTAAAAGTATGCACAAGTTACCAAAACATTTTATTTTTCTTTGTCCCTTTAAAATTATTTTTAAAAATGTATTTATTTGAGAGAGAGAGAGAGAGAGAGAGAGAGAGAGAGAGAAAGAGCGAGCAATTGGGGGGGGGGAGAGAAAGAGATGGAGAGAGGATCTCAAGCAGACCTGGGGGTGATTCCACGACCTCGAGATCATGACCTGAGCCAAAACCAAGTCAGACACTTAAACTGACTAAGCCCTTCCAGCTGTTCATTAAACTTCTCATTTTGTTTATGTAGTGTATTCCTTTTATTGAATTAACTGTTTTTTAAAGATTTTATTCATTTATTTTAGTGAGAGAAAGAGTGTGTGAGCTAGGGGGGAGTAGCAGAGGGAGAGGGACACTGTACTGAGTGTAAGCCTGATGCAGGGCTCAATCTCATGACCCTGAGATCATAGCCTGAGATGAAATCAAGTGTCAGACACTTAATTGCCTGACCCACCCAGGCACCCCTGAATTGGCTTTTTGTGTTTTCTGGTAGCTCCTTGAATTTCCTGAAGACTGAGATTTTGAAATCTTTCTTGGATAAATTACAGATCTCCACATGTCTGAGATTGATTACAGGAAGATTATTGTAATCCTTTGTTGGTGTCATATTTCCTTGATTTTGTCATATCCTTTTGCCTTGCTGTCTTTGCCTTTGAAGTAGCAGTCACCTCCTCCAGTCTTTAATGACTACCGCTCCCATGTGTCCAAACCTGATTGTTTTGCTCTGGTGGTGTGCTAGAACTTCTCTGCAGGAAAGCTGGTTTTCCACGAAGACTCTCTATCCCCATGGGTGATTATCTAAGTGTTTTCCAGGGGCTCCCAGATGGTGGCTGTGAGGGTGAGGGTGGCGCCAATTTATGGGCTTTTGCCGGATCCATAGCTGGGAGTGTAGTGTGTATGCCTCTTACCTGATGCATGGGCAGATGAGACTTTTCCTCCGTGCCTTGGTGAATGGCACTTGATTCCACAGGTCCTACACAGGCAGTTTTGTCCCCACAAATGACATTGTATCATAATTGTATATGTGTATTTCCTTGCATATCGTTGCACTTCATAACTGTTCTATGAATTAATAAATGAATTCAGATGGGTAACAGATGTTTACAAAAAAATTTTTTTATTCCTTACCAGTAAAATTATTAGAAAATATTGGCTTTCTAATGGATATTTTAACTGGATTTTTGTTTTAAGTAATGATCCTGGTTTGTCTATCATGGAAATAAAGAAAGATAAAAATGTAAAGTGGGCATCAAAAGCATCTGCGATCACACCAGGCTTTGAGGAGGCCGATTCCCTAACTGGTAGTCTACTACGAGTGAGTAATGACAACAGTCTAAGTGAAATGGATCAGGATGAAAGAAGGTAAAATCCCATAAATTCTTTATTTACCTCTGAAGGAATGTTAACTATGATTATTTATGTAAGTAAAACACTGTAATATAGTGTCGTACAGGCTGAGGGAAGAAATACTCAAGTATATCAAAAACACCACTTGAAAGGTTAGGATGAGGAGGAGTGACTTTTTTTTTTAAGATTTCATTTATTTATTTGTGAGAGACACAGAGAGAGAGGCAGAGACATAGGCAGAGGGAGAAGCAGGTTCCCTGTGGGGAGCCCAAAGCAGAACTCGATCCCAGGACCCCCAGATCAGGATATGAGTTTTGTGGTAAGAGATTGTTTATTTAGAATCGGTTCCACCGTGCAGTAGTCTCATATAATTGAATATTCAGATACTATCCTTCATCAATTGAAAAAAAAATATATATATAATAGTAAATATACAGACACATAGGCGATTCTGAATAGAACTAATCATTTCTTGATAGGTTTTAAGGTATTTAGTACCTTTGACAGTATCAAGAATAGCTATGATTTTGTGAGGGGCTTTGGAGTATCTGATTATATTAAGTTAATATTTGTTTAGGTTCTGAGGAAAGGGGAATGGTTTTGTTTATTTACAATATGTTTATTTACAATTGAAAAACTTTTCATCTATCATAGATTATTACTTTTGGATTATAGAGTTCTAAATTACAAGAGCCACGGTTACTGTACCAGCAGCGTCATTGACACATACTGTGTGCTTCATGAGTAATTGTCGAATCCATGAATAAACATTTGAATGAGTAAAGGAATGCCCATTAATGAACTTCTTTAGAAGAATTAAATCTTTAGTTTATTGAAAGTAGATTTTCAATACTGCCTAGGTATGAAGTGTTTTAATTAAAAAAGGTGTGTGGGATGCCGGGGTGGCACAGCAGTTGAGTGTCTTGCCTTGGGCTCAGGGCATGATCCTGGGGTCCCGCACCAGGCTCCTTGTGGGGGAGCCTGTTTCTCCCTCTGCCTATGTCTCTGCCTGTCTCTCTCTGTGTGTCTCTCTAGTGAATGAATGAATAAATAAATAAAATCTTTTAAAAAAATAAAAAGTTAAAAATGTATGTAAGATTCAGAAATTATTTCTAGAATAATTATAGCTAGAAATGGAATAATACTATAGATTCAGTTGCTATCACATTACTTAGAAATACTTTACTTTTACCACATATTTTAAAACACATGTTTGGAAGGGACATTTCCTGGACTTGAGTTCTGGGTGGTCTGCTCCTGCCAGCTGTATGGGCTTGGGGAAGTTCCTTAGAATTTCTGTGCCTCATTTGCTTCCTGTGAAAGATACCCTGTATAATTGCCTACTTCATACAGTTTGTGTAAGGCCTAAAAACCCTTTAGGATATGTAAACTGTCTCAAATAATGCATAGTAGTTACACATTAAAACTTCAAAACGCTAATATCATGATTATTTAAAAAGGGCTTATGTCATTAAAAAAACTTAGTTTGCACTTTCCAAATTGATTTAGTGAAAACTTGTTGTTATTGAAAATGACAACAAAAAATGTGGTATATTTACCCCTATCAAATAATGTAAGTAACATTATGATTTTCCTTTACTTTTGCAATTTTGATCTAAATTTAATACTTTGTTAATATTACTATTAATATTGCTTAGATATGCTTTAAATATTCTTTGTATTTTAAGTATTTAATATTTTCCTGAAAAGAATCCTTTCTCTTTTTAGACCTGCAAAGAAAACATCTAAGGAAAAGAACAAGGTAGACAAACCAAATATATAATTCTATTTCATTTGTGATATATTTTATTATAATTCTATTTCATTTATGATATATTTTATTATATTATTTTGATATTTCATATTTATCAGAAATATTATTCCATGGTAAAAAAAATTACTTTATGAAACGCATAGTGAAAAAATGAAAATTTTCCTTTGTTGTATAGACATCTGCTGTGAAAAAAATATTCAGAAACACCAATTATTGTTAAAGGTCTTTTTGATAAAAATCAGTTCTTTTAAAAAGTACCTATGTTTTTGCTTTTATAAAAAGATGGATATTTATCATCTCTCTACACTTAGTATATTTTATAAATATTTGGATGACATTTTGAAATAGTATTATTTATTTGTAGGTCAAAAAGCAAGTGAAGTCTGTGCAACACCTTGATGACTTAACTCAGTCATCTGAAGCAGCTTCAGAGGATTCCAAGTTGCAATACTCTGATTATGAGAGTTCCCTGTTGCTCACTGAACTTGGCATGGATTATAAAGGTAGGGCCGTCGTATAAATATAAAGCCTTTTTCTGTATATATGATTGTAGTAATATGTGCACATCTTGTCTAGCACTGAGCCACACAACACTGAGGCGTTATAGAGCTACTCATCTCAGAAATATGTTTTATATTAAAATAGAGAACTATTGAATACTCTCAGCCAAAGAACTATAATTTCCATTGTGGTTGTCTACGTGGGAATGGCACACTTGATGTGTTTGAGAACTCTGCTTCTCTTTTGTGCCTTCACCCAAGGTCAGGTTACCATTATTTTTCTCCTAGATTACTGAGCTAACCTCAGGACTGTTTTCCCTGCCATTCCACCTCTCGGGATCTTGGTCTACACTGCAACCATAATTACTATACATTTTTAAAAGTTTACATTTCATCACGTTACCCCCTTGCTTAAAGCTTAGCTATTACTTCTTAATGCTATGAGGTGAAAGACCATAGTCCACTAGCTTCATCTTGTATGGTTTCATATCCATCTTTCCATCCATGTCTCAGCCACTGTCTTAGATGTTTTTTCACATAATAGAGGCTTTCTTTCTCCCAACAGCTTTAGTTAGGTAAACTGCACGTGTATGAAGTATATAATTTGATAGTTTTGTCATATATATACACATATGAAACCATAACTGTAATTTAGACAGTTAACATATCCATCACTCTTAAGTCTCCTGTCTCTTCATATTGCCTTATTATGAAACTGCCAAATTGTTTTCTAAAGTAATTGTACTATTTTCTAAACCCACCGGCAGAATGTGAGGGTTTCTAACCTTATTTATGAGTACTTAGTATTATCAGTTTTTTATTTTTTTTTATTTTTTATTTTTTATTTTTTTTTTAAGATATTTTTTTTTAATTTTTATTTATTTATGATAGTCACAGAGGGAGAGAGAGAGAGAGGCGCAGAGACATAGGCAGAGGGAGAAGCAGGCTCCATGCACCAGGAGCCCGATGCGGGATTCGATCCTGGGTCTCCAGGATCGTGCCCTGGGCCAAAGGCAGGCGCCAAACCGCTGCGCCACCCAGGGATCCCAGTTTTTTAATCATAGCCGTGGATGGGTATGATACACACACACACACACACACACACACACATCATATATATGTGTATAAATATATACATTTATGGTTGTAATATACATTTCCCTAATAACTGATAAGGTTGATCTTATTTAACATCTGTATATCTTCATTGAGCTGTCAGAATTTTTGTCATTTAAAAAATTAGCTTTATTTCTTATTTGTCGAGTGTTGATAAATCTTTGTTTTTGTTTTTGATATCTTATTTTTTAAATTGGAGTTCAATTTGCCAACAGATAGCATAACACCCAATGCTCATCCCATCAAGTGCCCCCCCTCAGTGCCCATCACCCAGTCACCCAAACCCCTCGCCCACCTCCCTTTCCACCATGCCCTGTTTGTTTCCCAGAGATAGGAGTCTCTCATGTTCTGTCACCCTCCCTGATATTTTCACTCATTTTCTCTCCTTTCCACTTTATTCCTTTCACTATTTTTATATTCCCCAAATGAATGAGAACATATAATGTTTGTCCTTCTCCGATTGACTTATTTCACTCAGCATAATACCCTGCAGTTCCATCCATGTCGAAGTAAATGGTAGATATTTGTTTTTTCTAATGGCTGAGTAATATTCCATCGTATACATAGACCACATCTTCTTTATCCTTTCATCTTTCGAAGGACACCGAGGCTCCTTCCACAGTTTGGCTACTGTGGACATTGCTGCTAGAAACATTGAGGTGCAGGTGTCCCGGCGTTTCACTGCATCTGTATCTTTGGGTAAATCCCCGGCAGTGCAACTGCAGGGTCATAGGGCAGATCTATTTTTAAGTCTTTGAGGAATCTTCACACAGTTCTCCAGCGTGGCTGTGCCAGTTCACATTCCCACCAACAGTGCAAGAGGGTTCCCCTTTCTCCGCATCTGCTCCAACATTTGTTGTTTCCTGTCTTGTTAATTTTCCCCATTCTCACTGCTGTGAGGTGGTATCTCATTGTGGTTTTGGTTTGTTTTTCCCTGATGGCCAGTGATGCGGAGCATTTTCTCATGTGCTTTTTGGCCCTGTCTGTGTCTTCCTCTGTGAAAATTCTGTTCATGTTTTTCGCCCATTTCATGATTGGATTGTTTGTTTCTTTGCTGTTGAATTTACAAAGTTCTTTATAGGTCTTGGATTATACTAGCCATTTATCTGATAGGTCATTTGCCAATATCTTCTCCATTCTGGAGGCTGTCTTTTAGTTTTGTTGACTGCTTCTTTTGCTGTGCAGAAGATTTTTTACCTTGATGAATTCCCAATAGTTCATGTTTGCTTTGGTTTCTCTTGCCTTCATGGATGTATCTTGCAAGAAGTTGCTGTGGCCAAGTTCAAAAAGGGTGTTGCCTGTGTTCTCCTCTAGGATTCTGATGGATTCCTGTCTCACATTTAGATCTTTCATCCATTTTGAGTTTTTCTTTGTGTATAATTTAAGAGAATGGTCTAGTTTCATTCTTCTGCACGTGACTGTCCAGTTTTCCCAGCACCATTTATTGAAGAGAGTGTCCTTTTTCCAGTGGATAGTCTTTCCTGCTTTGTCAAATATAACTTGACCATAGAGTTGAGGGCCCATTTCTGGATTCTCTATTCTTTTTCATTGATCTATGTGTCTGTTTTTGTGCCAGTACCACACTGTCTTGATGATCACAGCTTTGTGGTACACCCTGAAATCTGGCATTGTGATGTCCCCAGCTCTGGTTTTCTTTTTTATTATTCCCCTGGCTATTCGGTGTCTTTTCTGATTCCATACAACTCTTCCGATGATTTGTTCCAACATTCTGAAGAAAGTCCATGGTATTTTGATAGGGATTGCATTAAATGTGTAAATTGCCCTGCGTAACATTGACATTTTCCCAATATTCATTCTTCCAATCCATGAGCATGGAATATTTTTTCCATCTCTTTGCGTCTTCCTCAGTTTCCTTCAGAAGTGTTCTGTACTTTTGAGGGTATAGATGCTTTACCTCTTTGGTTAGGTTTATTCCTAGGCATCTCATGGTTTTGGGTGCAATTGTCAATTGGATTGACTCCTTAATTTCTCTTTCTTCAGTCGCATTGTTAGTGTATAGAAATGCCACCGACTTCTGGGCATTGATTTTGTATCCTGCCACACTGCCGAATTGCTGTATGAGTTCTAGCAGTCTTGGGGTGGAGTCTTTTGCGTTTTCTATTTACAGTATCATGTCAACCGCAAAGAGGCAGCGTTTGACTTCTTCTTTACCAGTGTGAATGCTTTTTATTTCTTTTTGTTGTCTGATTGCTGAGGCTAGGACTTCCAGTACTATGTTAAGAGCAGTGGTGAGAGTGGACATCCCTGTCTTGTTCCTGATCTTAGGGGAAAGGCTCCCAGTGCTTCCCCACTGAGAATTATATTTGCTGTGGGCTTTTCATAGATGGCTTTTAAAATGCTGAGGAATGTTCCCTCTATCCCTACACCCTGAAGAGGTTTTATCAGGAGTGGATGCTGTAGTTTGTCAAATGCTTTCTCTGCTCCTATTGAGAGAGTCATATGGTTCTTGTTTTTTCTCTTCTTGATATGATCAATCACATTGATTGCTTTACGAGTGTTGAACCAGCCTTGCAACCCAGGGATAAATCCTAATGGGTCATGGTGAATAATCTTCCTAATGTATTGTTGGATCCTATTGGCTACTATCTTGTTGAGCATTTTTGCATCTGTGTTCATCAGGGTTATTCTCTCTACCTCTCCTTTTTGGCGCGGGGTCTTGGGTTTTGGAATTAAGGGGATGCTGGCCTCATAGAATGAGTTTGGACGTACTCCATCTCTTTCTATCTTTTGGAGCAGCTTTAGTAGACTAGGTATTGTTTGTTCTACAAACCTTTGATAGAATTCCCCTGGGAAGCCATCTGACCCTGGACTTTTGTGTCTTGGGAGGTTTTTGATGATATCTTCAATTTCCTCCCTGGTGGTTGGCTTTTTTGGACTTTCTCTTTCTTCCTTTTCCAGTTTTGCTAGTTTGTGGTTTTCCAGTAATGAGTCCTTTCTTCTAGATTGCCTAATTTATTGGCCTATAGCTGCTCATACTAAGTTTTTAAAATCATTTGTATTTCTTTGGTATTGGTGGTGATCTCTCCGTTTTCATTTGTGACTAATTTGAGTCTTTTCTCTCTTGTTTTTAATAAGGCTGGCTAATGGTTCGTGTATCTTATTCTTCCTTTCAAAGAACCAACTCCTGGTTTTGTTGATGTGTTTCACAGTTCTTCGACTCTATTTCATTGAGTTCTGCTCGAATCTTTATTAATTGTCTTTTTCTGCCGGCTTAGGTCTTATTTGCTGTTCTTTCTCCAGCAACTTTAGGTACAAGATTATCTTTTATATTATATTATATTATATTATATTATATTATATTATCTTTTCCAGTTTTTTGAGGGAGGCTTATATTGTGATATATTCCCCCTTAGGACTGCTGTTGCTGTATCCCAAGATTTTGAACAGTCGTATCTTCATTCTAATTAGTTTCCATGACTCTTTTTAATTCTTCCTGAATTTCCTGGTTGACCTTTTCATCTTTTACCAGGATGGTAGTTAACCCCCACATGTTTCAATTTCTTCCAATATTCTTCTTGTGATTTAGTCCTGTTTCAAAGCATTATGGTCTGAAAATATGCTGGGGACAATCTCAAATTTTTGTTATCGGTTGAGACCTGATTTGTGACCTATTCTGTGTTGTCTATTCTGGAGAAAGTTCCTTGTGCACTTGAGAAGAACGTGTATTCAGTTGCATTTGTCTGTAAAGTTCTATAAATATCTGTGAAATCCATCTGGTGCAGTGCATCATTTAAAGCTCTTGTTTCTTTGGAGATATTGGGCTTAGAAGATGTGTCATTTACAGAAAGCGACGTGTTAAAATCTCCCAGTTTTAGTGTACTGTTACCTAAATATGTCTTAATTTTGGTTATTAAATGACTGTTATA